ATATCTAAATTTTAAAAAATTTGATTCAGTTACTGTTTTCAAAAATTGTAAAGTTTTTTTTTGTTTTAAAATTTTTGTAATATTTACCAAATTTGTTTTAAATAAAAAATATAGAAATACACTTGTGAATTAATTTATTGAGATAATATCCAATGCATGGCATGCTATAAAAAATTAAAATATTTAAAATTTGTCAATATAAATATAATGTATAAGTATATGTGTTCCAAAAGTCCACAATACTTATTTAAATTAGATATTTGTAAATTTAAATGTATTTTTTAATCAATCAATATAAATAATATATGTGACTACAAAGTTATCCTTTTATAATCAAGCAACATTAAATCTAAATATTTTTAAAATATTTTTTTTTTAACCGAAATTTAAATATAATAAAAACTCAACAGGAAAATATTTATTGCCTAACATATTATATGGTTTTATATTTATATGTAAAATAAAATGGGTTTAAAACTGTTTCAGAAAAATTATATAAGCTTGGTTTGTTCCTTTTGGTTATTTGATATAAATGTTTGGTTGTTTAGAAAATTATAAGGATTATTTCCAATACAATGGTTCGGTTCACTTTGGGTCCCTAGTTATGACTCTGCACATTATAATTTTTATATAAAATGGTTGATGAATAATCCAAATGATATTGCTTGGGTTTTATAGGTTATTTTTTTCTGGAATGGTTTTGTATAAATGTTCTTGTTTCATCAATTTGCTCAAAGTTCCTTACAGGGTCTCTGTTTTTTAGAAATATTTAGTTGATATGGGTATTATATCAAGATGGTTGTAACATGGGAATAACAATTATACTTGAAGATTATAATTATTCATATTTTATACATAATTTTTTTAGAGGATAACAAATTATTTGCTAATGACTTGGCAACACGTGATCGTTCGTTAGATTTGTTTCATTCTTTGGGGAAAATATTGTATCGAAAAGTTACGAAGGAATTAGAAGTATTCACTGACGACTTTAGTCATGGAAGCGTTAATTCCACCAATATTATGAAAGTTATTTATATTATTTTTATTCCAATTTTTTCTTTGTTAATGATCTTTTTCTAGGTCTTCTAAGATACAGCTTGCCCCACTACTCCTCTTTTTCCATTATTCACGATTCGGAGTTTTTCATGCCCCATGATTCGAACTATAACAAATATCTGTTCGGTTTGTAAAAAATAATATCATTTTAGTTTGATCTTTTAAAAACCGGTTCGAAACTTTTTCCTGAGTGTCGAACCGATTATAATTATTTAGTTCCATTCCGGTTATTTTTCGACGAATTTTATATCGGTTTGTTCTGGTGTAGAATTCCATATGTTTTATAAGTTTTGGATTTTTTAAGATTAATTAATTTTTTATATATTATTTTGTTTATACCTAATCTAAAAACTTGAAAATTAAAAACTAAAAAAAAATCTAAGAAAATAAGTTGAATATCTTTATTTTAATATAAAACATCCATTTAACAAATTTTTATATGTTTTTAAAAGTAGATATTTTTTTATATACAGTTTTTATAATGTTATATTACGCACGAAATTTTAATTAATAAATCAAAATGTTTCATACAAAAAAAAATTAAGGAAAAGCCGCATATTGTTGTTATTTTAAAATATGCCAATCATTTAAAATAAACAAATATAATTTTAAAAAACCGTAATTAACCTGGTTAAATCGGTTCAGAAATATTTTATAACGTTTCGGTTCTCTTCTTTCAGTATTTTATTATAACTGATTGCGACTCAAAAAATGATAACGCAGGGTTGGTTTGATACCCTGATGTTCGCATACAAATTTATTTTATATTATATAAGGAGAAACGCGTTAAAATTTTATCCCTGTTCCCTATAAATATTGGGAGATATACGATTAAAATATTTTAAATTATCTTTCAAATTGTATCTATGAGGAGTAAATTTTATGAATTACACACTTCTGAATACGTTAACATGGGTAATTAGTATACCGTCAAATAGCAATATACAAAAAATATCTAAAATATAGTTATCGACACCCTTCAATCAAAATTAATTATTAATAGTATTTAAAAGAGTAGTTATATCAAAAAGTTCAAACCGATTTACAGATTTTTTTTAGAGCTGAGGACAAAAAATTTTAGGATCAATTTTTTAAATTAATTATTAGCACAAAATTGTTCTGTTGAATTCGGTTTGGATCCATGCATGTTCTTTTCTATGACTACATTTGTTCTGTTTATCTTTCGCTCTTTCTTTCATTTTTTTAATTTAATGATTACTTGTGGCCAAACGAGCTAGTTAAAATCTTATTCTAATTTTTATTCTTATTATGCGGTTTAGATGGCATGGCGTTTAATTTTTCTTATTTAAGGTGGAATTAGAACCATATAATAATCAATCGCCTAGGCCTTTCGCATACATTATTAAATTTAATTTAGGACACCTTTTCGCTGTTATCCAAACTAAGCGTCAATAAAGAAACGTTTTTGGATTTCCTGCAATACAATCAAATATCCTTTTTCGATTCTTGCGGCTCAAGCGCTCTCGCTGCCTCACTCCACGATTCGTCATTCGCTGATCACATTTACTCCTTCTGGGAGGTTAATGCCTAAAATATCTTTATCATTTTACCTCAATCCCTAACACTACTGAGATGAAATTAAATATAGTTTCTTACATATTTTTTTATATTTTATAACTGATTGATGCGTATAACTTTGGATTGTGAACGCATCTAAGACTTCGCTTAGAGTAAGCGCGAAATTCCACGTAGTTTAAGCGGGACCATGCAAATAGTACCTCTGCAGGTCTCTGATAAATATTTTAAAATATGGTCTTACGATTTAATTTATTACGCTTTATGATTCGTTTGTAATACCGGGTGGTTTAAAAAAAGTTTTGATTTTTAATGTGTCACTCATGAAATTCTACATTTTATTATAGAATATATTTAACTTAATATTCCCAATTTTTTAGAATATAAAATTATATTTATACATTTGATTTCTATAATTATGTTTAAATAAAGACCCCACAGTATGCTTTAGTCTAACATAATCATCTATCCGGAGTCTTAGTCAAATTTTAGCATTTTTTATATCAATTTTCTTAAAAAAAACTACTCTATCGAATTTTAGAAAAATTGAGGATATTAAATTCGTTATACTTTTTTAAAATAAAATTGAATTTCATTTTAAAAAAACGAGTAGCGCGTTTTAGAATTATAAATATTTCAAAACGCGACGTTTTTTTAGACACCCTTCTATAATCATTTTTTTGTTCATATATTCTTAAGCTTTACTCTATTATAATTATGCTATCAATACACTTTAATATGTTATAATAAAGTTCCGAGAAATTATGACTGATATGGCTCTGTTAATAGCGTCTCATTCCTACATCACGCATACTTTAACCCAAAATATTAACAATGAAAATAATAGAAATCTCGGATGGAAACCTTTGAATAAACCGAAGATATATACCTCCAAATTGGGGGTAAATTTTATTTGTTATGGGTCTCTTTTTTTAAAAATAGGAGGTTTTGACATTATGTTGTAAATGTATTTTATTGGTGTTGTTTTAAGATTAAGTTCATCCAAATCTTTCATATGGATTTAAATAAGGTATTAATTATTTTTATTAGATATTAGCTTACGACCGTTTTTAAGAAAACATATTTAAAAAAAATAGAAACCAATACTGGTAAAGAAATTGAATCCAGAACATTTCTAATAATTATTATTTGGCAAATAATTAAATAAGTTGTTTTTTCTCATATCTAATTATCATTAGTTTTATTTTTTTCTAAATATTATAATAACATTTCTTAAACTTTAACTTTCACGCGAGTTATTATAAACTAATTGAAGTTTTTCAATAATTTATTTATAAAATTTAATTTAAAAAAATATAGCTCAACACTTTAGCTAAGAACAAGATGGCGAAAATAAAACCTGACCTACCCTATCACAATTATTTTATGCCTTATAACGAAATTTTTACAGTTTTGTTGCCGCTCAGAAATCTCGTCAACCAATCATCCGATAATAAATTTGAGTGTCTGCCATCTCTTAAACCTAGCAAATTATCAAGTATTTTTAAAAAATATTATTAGAATATACAAATTAAGATTTTATTTTATAATATTGTTTTTTTTAATTTTTGAGTTTTTATTTTTAATACTAAAGCCTCCTAGCGGATGAGATATTACTAAATTATTATGAACTTGGGGGGAATTATTTTTGTTCTGGCCCTTTCCGGTTCCTTAAAAAGGTTAAATCCCTGTTACTCTCATATTTTGTTATTAAAAATGTTCTTGCCATGTTTTATGAGAGCCAAGAAAATTTTGGAACCTTCGAAACCTATTCTATAATCTCATTCCATAGTTTCTCGAAATTATTTTAAATTTTAGTCCGGGAATGTTCCTGTCCCTAATGTTTATTGATCTAAAAATTAATATGGCATAATTTTTAAAAATCTTTCATATTATATTTAAGGTGTTATAACGAAAAACTACGATACCAAAGAAATGTAAGGGTGATTTGTTTTATTATTTTTTAGCAACATATAAATGTACAAATTATTATTTTTTTTTTAAATAATGATAATTATACATTCATTAAAAGGCAAAACCTTGAAACTTTCAAAATGGCCACGAATAATAAATCTAATAACAATTTTGATTACCGAAAAAATGTCCAAAATAAAAATGATATCGAAGATTATTACCAAAATGACGTAGATATTATTGAAGATTAAAAAAAATACAATTTTGGGATATATAATACCACTGCCCGTTAGATTGAAAAGATTTATTGTGTTAAATAAATGTATATATATCTGTATAATATATTATTATCGTGTAAAATATTTATAATTACTTTAAAATTGACTATGATATTATTAAGACATAACCCCAGAGAGCATTATAATTAAATATATTATATATTTATTATATTAATTTAAGAAGAAGAATCAGAATTAGCCCAATGCCTTTATTATATTAACTACTCGATAACTATTTTTTTTAAAGGAATTTATATAGAGAAAAAAAACATTCACATAATTTATGCCTGTAAATATTTATGAAGTTAGAGCTTTTTGTTGCAATAATCGGTTTTGTTACAACATTTAACATATACATCTCCATCTCCATGGTTTTTGCCCGAACACACAGCTTTTATTAAGTTTTTTGGTATACATCTAGTGGTAAAATAAATTTATTATTTAAAAAAATAATAATTATTAACATGAGCATAATTTTTTAATATAAGGTTTAAGACAAGGGACAAGGCTAGGGTTTTAACCTAGGTGTCATTAGGTCAATTAACCGATCGAATATAGTCAAATTCAAAAAAAAATTTGTCGACAATACCCTTGGTGTTTTGGGCGAGGAATTCCATAAATTTATCACGATACTAATGAGAATTGAACTAAATATGTGGCGATCGTAATGAAGCCTTCTATTTCAAACAAGCCATTACGATTGCTATTCATTATAGCAATTGCATTGTTATTCGTGGTTCCATTTAGCAATGCAAGTATTTAGATTTAATTTTTTTTAAAAATGTTTATTTATACCTGCTATATTTTTTTATAATCGTTTATCGTTTTTTATGTTATATTTATTCTAAATTAGTTTTTAATAATAAAAAATGAATATGCTATCCAAAATAAATAAAAAAACGTCTTTTTTTGCTTTTGGGACGCAATACAATATTTAACCCTATTAATAGGATAAAATATTTTATTTATTATCATAATTATAATATTTAATATACATAAAATTGCGTTGAGGAAAAAGAATGCCATTCGTTGCTTGTTTTAAAAAGTAACAATGACGCATTTTTTTTTTAAATAATAGTAACGTAAAATGTTACTCGTTACCTTAAATTTTTTCTTAAAATATGTAAAAATTATTTTTTAAGATTTTATAACCGAGTTTTAAATTCAAATCAACGACCAAAGTTCTTCATTTTTATTTATTAAGTTTTTGTTATTGGATTTTATAAAGCCAAGTTTGATAATCTAATTAATATTGAATCAATCAATTTATGTCCTCTAATATTATAATTTATTTTATTAAAAATATGTGTCAATAGGACTTATCTTCATATGATTTAACTCTGCCCTGGCCCGTGTATGGAACATTTGTTACACAAGGAAATTATTGGCACTAAGTACACTTTATTAATGTATATTTTACCCTAATTCAAATATTTCGACTTAGATGTTTAGCTCAAATGTAAAAAAAATAAGTTCTGATATGGACAAAAAAATTTAGGATATTTTAAGATTTTTCTAAAGATGATCTAATTAGTTTTTTTGAATTATTCTTTAAATATTTTTAATAAATTCCCCTTATTAAAATTTTTATACAAAACTACTATCCTCTGCCTCGGTTGAACATGTATTTACCATTGCAAATGCTTTATTAAGCACTAAGAGATCTTGTTTATCTGATTAAAATTTTTTAAATCAATGCTAAAAATCAATAAATAATTATTTAAAAAAGATTTTACAATATATTATTTTTGTGTAATTTTATTTTATAAAAAGAAATTTGAGTAGCGAGTTACTTTTTTTTGAATAGTGAGTAATACATTTCTTTTTTTAAAAAATAACTAACGCGTTTCTTGCTTGAAGTAAGGTTTATGGCACTGTTTTTACTTAGCCGTTTAAGCCAATTTCCACCCTGCGGAACCAATATTTTGCCCAAAATAATCACTTTGGCCTAGGGTTTTTTCTTAAAAATATAACAGCTCAAATTTATATAAAAAATATAAATTAAGAGCCTGAATATTAAGGGATTTTCTCCGCACACCTGTAGATTAGGTCGAATTAGCGGACGTTCAGCTATTACCCTACTATAAATATAACACATACTAATATGAGTCAAATTTAGAGGCATCCTATAATGACTAGCTGAAGCCTTCTATACGGCAGTGCTTATAGATACTTATTTTTCAAATATTTTTAATTTGTCAAAATAAAAGGCTTATGATTACCATCTTTTTGGGAAACTCAAGTTCCTAAACAAATAAACCCATCTCCAAAACAACTTTTGACCGTTTGGTAAAGGTCCAATCTTTTCTTTGCTAAATATTAATGTTCATTTTAATTAACTGTTAATAGATATTTTTTTCATAGTTTATCATTAAACTAAAAAGCACAATTACGGTATAAAATTTATAATCCAAGGAATGAACCATTCATGGATAAATTTTTTTTATCATTTCTCTCATTTTTTGAGTCAAATGCGCAAGATTTGATCTACGATTTTCTATGATAATTTATTTCAAATTGGGTTATCCCCGAATACTGCCACCATTGAACGCCTTTTGAAGCCAATGGAGCTGATTATAAGGGATCAATTAATGTCTGTTTCTATGCTCAGCTATAGTTTTTAGGCTATAATGTTAAGTACCGCGATATTGAACTCAAAATGTGATACGATCGAGATAACCAATGTTTATTTATATTTGGAAATCGTCATTTTCGAAGACCGTCCCTGGCTTAGTGGGATAAGTGAGTGTTTCTCAATCCGTAGGTTCTAAGTTTAAATCCCTCTGAAGCCAACTTCATGGTTCCTTTCTTGGATGATTGTTTAGTAATTGATATATATTGACTATGCCATATCTATCTCATTAACCAAGTTTTTCGACTCTGGCTATATGGCTAAATTAAAAATTTTCTCCTGGGTAATTGAATCAATAGGAATTCCACGGAATATTTAAAATAATTTTGAAAAACTGAAGTGTACCTTTTTTTTCAGATGTAGACACTTCACTTTCACATTAATTAGGACCATTTAAAACTAGTGCTATAAACGTTAATTCAAAAAAAATGCGTTACTCGTTACATCTGAAAAAAGGAGCGCGCGTAACTGGCTATTCAAAGAAGTAACAGGTTACTTACTCGTTACTTAAAAAAATCAATATAATATACAAAAAAAATTTCTTTCCCAATATATATTGCATAATTTAAATTGTGCAAAAAATAATATATAAGAAATCTTTTTATAAAAATTATAAATATAATTTATAAATAAAATAATATATTATAAGATAAGATATTTTTGTAATAACTATTATTTATTTTTATCAACAATTGATATATAAAATTCAGATAACCAAGAGTGCTAAACACACGTTCAACTGACACAGACGATGGGAGTGTTTTAATATGAATAAATAAAAATTTTAATTGGGGGGGGGGAATTTATTAAAAATTAAAGAATAATCTTTATTTTGACAAATTAATTGGCCGTCAAAAGCTTCATTTGATACTCAACCATTTTTTTTTATCATTATTAGAAAATAATCTGTTAAGTGTGTTGGTTTTTTTTAAATTATACCTAAAAAGCCTTTAATCACTTATGGAAATCAAGTCTGCCTTACCTTTGTTAAGATCTTTTCTCAAACAGGAAATAAGTTCAAGCTTCCTTCCTTTCCTGATATCTAGTTTTACGAGAGCTTAATAAACAAAAATTTCAATTCGGGGAATTTATTAAAAATATTTAAGGAAATATCTTTATTTTGAAAAAAGCTTGAAAGATCATCTTAACAGAGATCTTCATTCATTTACTCATCAGAAAAGAATTTATCATTATCTGAAAATATTCTAGTGTGTGTGTTGGATAAAGGAATCAAGCCTGTTCTTCTTTATCAATATCTTTTCTCAAACTGGAAATAAGTTCCAGCATTCTTCCTTTATTGACCTCTAATTTTATCCAGGGCCAATCCAATTTAAATAGTGGGTGAATTATTGCCGATAGTATATAATCATTATCATAGATGTATTTGAATCTATTGAAAATATGATAGTCAAAATATAAATTATAAGCAATATCTATGGCTTTCAGGATTGAATCAATAAGCGGCTTACAAAACTTAAAATTATTTAAAGCCAATTTTTAAAAGTTTTGATATTATAATGGGAGTGAGATATCCCAAATGCATATTTTCTTCGCTCTCTAAAATTGAAAGAGCCGTAGCTATCGGTTCCATAACCTATAAAATCATATATATACATATCATATTTTATTTAACACTAACCATACAATATTTATCTATGAACGACTTGTTGTTAACTGAAAATCTCTGTAATCCAGTTTGTCGCAAGATTCATCAAATTTTTAATAATTTACCTTAATAAGACTATTTATTAATTTTACAGAGTTATAGAAAGAATTCCATCTTGTTATAACAGGTTTAATCAAATATCTTCCCATATTTTCCTTAAAAATGGCTGCACAGTTAGAAATTTGCCCTGTTTATTCCACAAAAGCTTACATTTAGAAAATGTAATTTTTTAAATGGTTTTATTTTATAATGGACATCGTGTGCTTTTCAGTGTCAATACATAAGATTTAAAGTGTGTGCTGAACAGGAATGATCCTTAGGTAAGTATACAATACTATCATTAATATTTTGATCTTCAAATAGATAAAATAATGGCAGTAGAACTATTTCATCATCCGATTCCTCTCCTTGTTCATATACTCTAATAAATTTTTAATAAATATATTATATAACTTTTTTACTTGAAGGCTTTTAAATAATTTCTAGCATTATAATAAAATTACAATATGATTTTGATATGTTCTTTTAGTATTAAAATTTTTATATGCAAAACTTAATTATAATAAATTCTTAGTCATAATATTTATATGTTTTTTATAAAGGTATCAAAAAAAGTTATTTATATTTTGATAATATACTCATTTGTATTAGTTATAAATATAATTGTTAAATTATATATATTTCTTTTAAATACCATTAAGAGTAACAAAATTACTTAAATTTTATTGTAATCTTATTTTTTAAAAAATATTTATGTATAATAAATTTTTAAAATAATAATCTGTATAAAATTTATACATTTCAAATTTATTTTATTGTGTACTATCATTAAAATAAACACATGGTTAAATAATAAGATGCTATATATATATATATATAGTATTTTAATAATAAAATCTATAATGAAATTTAAATAAATTGTTTTAAAATCATTTCATGATTAAGTTTTTATATGTTTAAAATAATTATATATTAATTCATTCTTTACCTTCAAATGTTTTTTTAAGTTTGAGCTACTTGACATTGACGTTGAAATATTTGCGATGGGGCATAATTTACATTTACAAAGTGTAGACTTGGTACCATTAATTTTCTTAATTGGTTTAAAATATAATTCAAATTGGGGCTAGGGAAGGGTTAAATCTTCTTCATCTGAAGAAGTAAGTATTATGGACATAATATTCTTTTAAAATAAATTATAAATTAATTAATAATATCTATATTTACTTTGAATTTTGATTGAATATTAATTTCGACTGATAATTTAACAACGAAATTTAAAAAAAAATGTTGGGAGTGGTTGATATGAATTAAAACTCGGCTTAAATTATTAATATTAAGAATTAAAAAATAAAAAATAAATAAAAGTAATTTTATAACAATAAAATATGTTTTTTATTGATATTTTTTAAGAAAATATATAAAGTAACGAGTAAAGTATAGTTTTGCATTACCATTACTCAAAAAAAGAAACGCGTTACCGTTACTCGTTACCTTTAGAAGAAGTTAACGAATGGCGTTCTTTTCCTTCAAAAAAAGTAACGTCGTTAGTAACGATGTTACTTTTTTGACTTTACTTTACAGCACTAAATAAAATATATTTTTTCCATATTTTTTAAGAAAAATTTGAAGTAATGAGTAATGTTTTGCGTTTCCTTTACTCAAAAAAAGAAACGCGTTACCGTTACTCGTTACCTCCAGAAGGAGATAACGAATGGCGTACCTTCTCTTCGAAAAAGGTAACGTCGTTGCAGGACTATTTAAAACTGATTAAAATATGAAATTCAAAATCGGCGTTATTTTTTAATAAATAATTTTTATAAATAGTTGTAACGTCTAAAAGCGATCAAAAATAAATGATATAATCAACACTGGAATCTTGAAATAAACCTTAAACTACCATATTAAAATCATCTGGGTCAAAATATAACTACATTCAAAAAATTTCTTACAAAAATTTAGATTTGATTATGTGTCGCCGGAGTAGAATTTGAGTGCTATACTTGCAAAGAAATGAAGATGATTTTAAATTTAGATTCAAATAAGAAAAATTTATGGATTAATATAAGTAAATTCAGTAGATCAATTATATTTTTTTTTCCATGCCAATTTTGCTATTGAGGTCTTCAAACGATTTTATTTCTCATATATGAATGTTAACACAATCCCAAAAAAATTTCAGAAGAAAATTTTTACCATCTCTGATTTTGCATGTATTTTGTAAATTTGTTTCAAAAGTAAATTTAAAATAAGAGTAAAAAATGAATGTTAACCCGAACCGAGCCCAATTTTTATTAAATTTTTTAAAAATTATGTAGCAATTAGAAATTCATAAAATAGATTATCAATATTATTAAACTTAGCTCTCATTTTAAAATCATACGTTTACGGCCAGGTTTGGGGTCAATCCATCAGTCTAAGGAAAATTTCCAACTAAATTGATAAACTTATGCACAAGTGAATGGCTCCCGTTCAAATTATACAACCCACCGGATCAATTTTAATAAGGCTGAATGAAGATGGATTTTAAAAATAAAGTGAAGCGATGAGTTTAAATCCTGGAAACATTTTTATTAATTGATTAGATCTAAAATATCGTCGATACCATACTCACTCTTAAGGTTGACCGTTCAATCTATTCTTAACCCTAAAAAATATCATATAGATTATGATAAAGTAATAAGTGATGTATTTATAACGTTTTCCCGCTTTTAAGCGTTTTTGAAATGTATGTTCTATTTGAGAAACATTATGAAGTTCATAACAGATTTTTTTATATTTATTTCATTTATTAAAGTTAACTGAATAAATTTTATGTATATACTTGTATTTGGTTTCACCCTTGTAATTGATATATACAGTAGCGCAAGCTCCATCTGTCGTGCACTTATTTTTACAATCACTTTGATTACAGCATCTTACTAAAGTATTAATGTTTATTATAAAAAGATCTGATTACTATTTTATTATGACATTCATATATCATTTAGTCATTGATCAACTCTCATAGTCAGGCTTCGGAGTGCCTGCTAGGTCAACTTTTATGCAATGTTATCTTCCTACCGACATGAATTTAATACTGCACAAAATATATACATTTATTTATTCTAAATTCTGCTAAAACATTCTTGAAATTAAACAGAGGACTTCTTATCTAAAAAAAATTTTTAGCCTTAAAAAATTTTAATATAATATTTGTGTTTGTATTCGATTTCTTTAATATAATTAATATTTATTTGATTACTTTTTGCTAAATGAATAGCTATTTGCGTTTAAAAAGTATAAAATTGCCCTTATAATCACGTGATTTATCTAAATTTATATTGAGGTTATTTATCATAATTAACACTTGTCGGCGTATATGGGGCAACGTGATTTAGAGGAAAGTTTTAAATCGTGAGAACATAATATATGTACCGAACTACGTTTCTGCAAAGGTTTATGGATATTTAATGAAAGATTTTTAATAAAAAAATTTTTGGAGGCAAAAATTAAATTATAATTTAAAACAGCGCTTGAAAAAAAAAATTTTGGGCAAAAATCTTTCAATAAAGATATTTTTGATCAAATTTAATGATATCATTTTCATGGATAAAAAACTTTTCAAGATGAATTTATAATTTTTTTCAAATCTGTTTAAAAAAGAAACAGCATTATTATTTGAAATTTTTTTTACTATTATTTTAAATATTAAATAAATTAAAATTTTAATTATTAGATGTTATTTTTATAAGTGAAAATATAACATATAAGTCAATTTTGCTCTATTTTCGATATCCTGTACAAAAATTCAGATAAAATTTTAAACATTAAATCTTTAAAATTTAGAACTAATTTAAGTACCTAATTAATGTCTAAAATATCAAAGTTTAATAAATTTGAATGTTATATAATAGATTTTAAAAAGGGGTTAGCTATTATACCACACCCAACTACTCGCGTTATTTTTTTTTCACCTTACTACTCAAGGGTTATGAATAAATTTACTAGGATAAATTTTACAGGGAATTGAGAAAAATTCCTATAAGAATAAGAAAATTTCATATTCGCGACTTGCCAACAATTAATGCTGCGACTATATGCCTCATACTTAAAAAGAAAAGATAATTTAGGTAAAAATAATTATTGCCATGAAATATTTATGAAAATTCAGTATGTTTATATTATAAAAATAGACCCCAATCAGAATTTAAACAATTAATCTTCTTGCAGCGTCATTTCTTGTTTGACAATTAGAAATTGAAAATAAAATCGAATCGAATTTTTTAATAATAATTCATTTTTAAGTTCATTTTTTTAAATATCCTGTTATATAATATATTATGTTTAAAAAATAATAATACAAAGACATTCGCATTCTTCCAAATTTTCTATATATTTATTATTTTTTAAATATTTCTGGTTATGTGTCAAAATTAAACTTTGTAACTTCTAGTTACATAAATGATATCTTAAATTCCAAAACAAAATTCTCTATCACTGACCTAAAGCCCTATATATAAATATTATGAATTTTTACAGGCAAAGACATCTAACAATGCTCAAATATATATTTCTGTTTAAAATTAAATCAGTGGTATACCAAAATTAGGTCTTTATATATGACTTACGTTTTTTTTGAGCTGCTATGGAAGAAAATATCGCAAAAATTCCCAGTATTATAAATAGGATTTTCATTTTTTTAAAAAACTATAAATGGATATTGTATTTGTCAGATAAAAAGGATTAAATTAAAAGTATTATATATATTAATTTCTTTTTCTATTTTTATAAAATCAAAATGATATTTTTAAATCAATATTTATAGATATAATAATTAATTCAACAAAGAAGTCTTCATATCAAATATTTACAAATAAATTTAGCTCAGAATATGTAGAAGGGAATTAATAATATATTCTGTTTTTATAATTGACACAAATTTCAAGGACATAGAAAAGAAAATTCCTCCGTATGCGTCCCCTGAACGGAACTTGGCAAAAATTTATATAAATATTAGTCTTTTCTTTAATTCCAGTTTACTTCACGTAATAATTTTTCCTTAGTCAATATTTAGTAATATTGTTTTTAAATCAGGAAATAATTTCTTTTTAGTGTTTTGCTATAAAATATTAATATCATTATATAATAAATGTTTTAAATTTCTACATTGTTTTGAGGTAGTGCTGAAAGGTATTTTCCGATATTCAAATTTGTATTAACACCTCGTCATACATATAAATGTTAATCTTAAAGATATTTAATGAGTGCTTAGTCATGGGTGGCGTCTGCCCGGGGTTTACGGGGCGGGTTTGAGCTTATTATTATATTTTCTAACGTGCGTAGGGTTTTAAGAATTTTCTTACTGCTAGCCTGGGTACTAACGTTGTTACCTTTTTTGAGGAAAAGGAATGCCATTTGTTATTGTTGAGTAATTGTATTTTTGTGGGTAATGGTTAACGCAAAACGTTACCCTTACTTTAAATATTTTCTTAAAAAATATGGAAAAACATATTTTATTATATATTATATTTTTTTAAATTTTATGAATTTAATCTGAGTTTATAATTCAGATCAACCACGAAAGTTCATCATTTTTATTTTATTTATTACATTTTTATGAATTTTTTTCTCGTATTATGATTTTTTTATATAATGAATCTATACTTATATAAAAAAAATAAAAATATATTCAAAAGAATATATATTATAATTAATTATAAATATCGAAAATTTACGTTCCCAAGAAGGAGCAGTAGTTATGTCGACAGTGGCGTAGGCATGGGGGGTTCATGAAAAATTTTTTTTTAAAATTTTTTAATTTAATCAATTCTTAATAAACGCTTGATTTTTAAATTTATTATAAATAATAATAGATATACACATTTGATTATTTTTATATTTATTGGTTTGCAGCTATTTCACACCACCCAAAAAAGGAAGTTATTTATTCAAACGTATCATGATATTGACTTAAAAAATCAAAAAAAAAACTAAAGATTTTGTCCGACCAGATTCATCGAAAGACAAGAGTTGGTGAAACTCTTTATTGAAATATATGATGTTGTCTTTGCAGCACTAGAATTTTATATATCAAGCAAGGAAAAAGATTCAGCAGATGCCGAAAATCTTTTGCAGGCTATTATTAAGCCACAGTTTTTAATTTCAATTCAATATGTTTATTTTTTATTTAATTATACACATGATTTTAGCAAAATGCTACAAAAAATTGATTTGTATTTAAGCGAGATTATGAATAGAGCAAAGATATTGTTGAAATATCAACAAATATCAGAGAGAATGTGGATGAAAAATTTCATGAAATATATGAAAAAGTAAAGGAGATTGCTAATATGTTTGGAATTGAAATTTTTAAACTTAGAGTAGTCTCTAGACAATCCAATCGATCAAATATTGATGCATCTACGATTGAGGATTTTTATAAAATAAACATTTTTATTCCCCTTATTGATACATTTTTATTTCAATTAAAAGAAAGATTTATTAGTCATAATTATATTTTTAAAGCTTTTATTTTCTTTTGCTGGTTGAGTCTAAACTGTTGATTACACTTGAAACACGAGAGGATATTAAAAAAATCTCAGAGTTTTATGCTGATGATTTAGTAGGTTCATATGATAAGTTACTTTGTGATGTCGAATTTTGGTATAAAAATCTTGACAGAATAGGGTATTCTTTGAGACCAAAAAATGCTCTGTAGGCCCTTTCCATGTGTATTTGCATTTTAGATTCCCTGCCTAATATCAAAACATTATTAATTTTAACTACCTTGCCAATTAGTACCTGCATTAATGAAAGGTCTTTTTCAACTTTAAAAAGGTTAAAAACCTATTTAAGAAACACAACCGGTGAAAAACGTTTAAATGGATTAGCCCTATTGAATATTAACAAGGAGATTATTTTAGATAAAAATTTGATTTTAGATGAATTAGCAAAATCTCTGAGAAAAGTAGATCTCTCTTTTTAAATTCAAATCAAAAAATAGCAATAAGATTTTATTAGTTTTAATATATAATCAACTTTTTTTTTGTAAAAAAAGTATTATTTATAAGATAATATCATCATATTTTTTTAAATACCATTATTTGCATAAGAATTACACATATTTTATATAATTATAAAAAATTACTTTTTTTAAAATAGAGTCTTTATACATTATAATTTTTAATATTAAAATCTGTATTATATAAAATATCAACATTTTGAAAATATTTTAATTAATAAAAATATATATATGATTAAATAAAGGAATGTAAAATATATAATAAAATAGCCTAAAATTTTGTTATATGAAAATATAAAACAATTTTAACAAATCCAAAAATATAAGCAATTAAGTGTTCAAAAAAATAGGAGATTCCAAAAAAAATTTATAACCCCCCCCCCATGATAAAATCCTGGCTACGCCACTGTATGTCGAAATATTTCAAGTTAAATTTTTTGTCGGATAAAAGAAATTTCATAGCCTCGTTAGTAAAATGTATGATTTTAAGGCTAGGGTTTTTAAAAAAATTTCATACTATATTTTAAATAAAGCAGTTATAAAAATTTATATAAAAATAATAAAAATATTGAAAAATTACATCTCAATCTTTTATGTGCAGGCCCGATTCTAGGCTTATTTAAGAAGCAGTGCCCCCCTTTCCATTAAAAATTTTTTTTTTTTGGAAATAAAGATTATTCATTGAATTTTAATAAATTCCCTCAATTAAAATTTTATTTATTAAATATGATACACATCTGCCATCCTCTGCTTTAACGTGCATTTAACAGAGCGAAAATTATGGTGAGCTTAAGCACTCTTGTCTTGTTTATCTGATCAAATTTTGAAAATGAATTGTTAAAAAATAAATAAAAAATTATTACAAAAAAACTTTATATATTATTATTTTTGTATAATTTTATTTTAAATAAAAAGAAAATTTAAATATATTTTTTTGCGTAAGTAAAGCGTTCCTTTTTTCAAACGGTAAAGAGTTTCTTTTTTGAAGTAGGGTTTAAAGTACTAGATTTTTGCATATCAAACTCCATTTTAACTAAGAAATTATCTTCCATTGATAAAAATTTCGAAAAAAATATTACATTGTTTGAATAAAAAGTTTTTTTTTATTATATTTTGAAAATATGCATGAACATTCCAAAAGATTTACATAAAAAAGATTTTGGCATTTTTAGGTAAAATTTTATCAAAAATCTCTTCAAAGATATTTTAAATATAATAACTTATATCTTAAATCTTAACTATATGTTTTATATGTAGGGGAGATCGGGGTTATATTCTCATAAATTGAAGTGCTACAAAAATAGATGAAGCAAATTTTCTAAAATGCTTAAACAAACGTACATACATCTCTAAGGTAGAAATTAATATTTAAGAAAAAAAATCTTTATTCTTTTATTAATATAAAATTTTTAAAAAAAGAAAATTTAAGAATTATGAAAACACCCGGGGTAGCTATTACCCTTTCACGTTGCGTGTCATAGCGCTTCTTTATTTTTAGATAAAAATGTTAATCCTAAGTAAATAAATTGAATATACCAGGTTTATCTATGTTACAGGGTTTCCCGTTCAAAAAAGGAAAAGTCCTAATCAAAAAAGGAAAAGTTTCAATCATAAAAGGAAAAGGTCCGATCAAAAAAGGAAAAGTCCTAATCAAAAAAGGAAAAGTTTCAATCATAAAAGGAAAAGGTCCGATCAAAAAAGGAAAAGGTCAATCAAAAAGGAAAAGGTCGATCAAAAAAGGAAAACTCCCAAAAAGAAAGGAAAAAGTCCGATCAAAAAGGAAAAGTGTCAAACAAAAAAGGAAAAGGTTCAATACAAAAAGAATCAAAAAAGAAAAAATGTCATTGAAAAGGAAAATTCTCAAAAGTAAAGGCAAAATGTCAATCAAGAAAGGAAAATTCCTTATTCAAAAAAGGAAAATCGTAATTTTTTAAAATTTTTATTTATTTTTGTCATTCCTTCTTATTTTATTTCTAACTTATTGCGATTTCTTTACTTTATTTGTATCTTTTCTCAATTTATTTTTCTTACTATATATTTTCTCAATTTTTTTTCTTATCATTGTAATTTTTAATAATTCTTTTGTATTTTTAAAAATAATTTATAAATTTAGGTCCATTTTTTTTAAACAATTCTTTACGTTTTTTTTCATCATACATGTCGTAATTTTTAAAGGGATCATAACTATCCGGGATCTTCAGGGGATTTAAAGGGATCCCTTTAAAATTTCAATTTTTTAAAGGATTTAGAACTATACGGCATTATCACGTTTGAACCACGTTTCGTTTTTTAATTTTATTGTTATTCATTAATTTTCAATGTTGTTTTTTTTGGCCTTATGAAATAAGATATGTCTAATATAAGTTATCATCGATAGCTAATCAAAAGATCTATTCAACTGAAAGTCAATCTCTCCCCCATAATTGGCGGATCTAGGTCTTGGGGGATCAGAAATATTTTTATCAACACGAAATATCGATATGGGTATCAAATAAAAGCTAATTTAATATGGTTTGACTGAAAATCTTCATTCTTGGTCTGAGGGTGGGGGATAACATGGTGTTATTTAGTATGATAATAAATTCATTTTTTTTAAATAATTATTTGAATGAACACGTTCACGACTTTGAACGCGCTTTTATTTTTTTGTAAATGAACATATTCAATTATTGTTAATGAAAGAAATCATTTATAAAAATGATTAAACTTCAAATATTACCGATTTCATACTACATACTGGTTATTTGCTCCAATTTTTAAAAAGACTAGTTTATTTTATGAACAATGATTGAGGGAGATATATTCGATCAATTATGGTATTAAATGGAATATAAATATTCATTTAAATAAAGACAGATTTGTTATATCTCCTTATTTTATGATTTTTAAGGAGAATATTAGTAACATTATTTTCAATTAAAAGTAAAACTTATAAATATCGTGAAATGAGACATAATAAAATGTTTTTATTTAAAATAATCATTAATAATACAAGCTCTGGAGGAGTTATCAAATTGGTCAGAAGTTATAGTTATCAAATATCATATGTAAATATAATTTGATATATATTTAGATTTTACATTAAAAAATATTTTGCATTTTTTAAAATACGGTTTATCACAGATATATTATATATGATACTGATTAAGAAAATATTACAATTCATTAAAAAATGTATATTAAAATATAAAATAACATTAATACATAATATATTTTAATTTCTAAACAATTCTTTATTTTGAATATTGAAATTATTGTTATAATTATTCTGATTAATGTCAACTTTATATTTCTTTAAAGTTTTTATTAATAAACCTTCATCAGTGTCCATATTATTCATTAAATCATCTTTGATATCACTTTCTTTTAAACAATCGGAAAGATTAAATGGCCCAAAATTATATCTAACTGGACCACTTTGTTCAAATATATTATCAAAATTAAATGTGTTTGAAGTATTAAATTTATTCCTATCTAAGCAAAGAGCTGCCCCTATTCCTTGTAAAGATGATCTTAATTCATTTTTCTGTGGATATAGAATTTGTCCAATTTTATGAATAACTGATTTGATAGATAAGGACTGATTTCTACCTTGATGGCTATTCCCTAATGACCCACTTAAGGTAAAATCAAGTTGGAAAAAAGGTGGTTGAAATTTAATTATTTCTACATTCTTAATATTGATAATTATAGTGCTATTTATATTAGACTGAAAATTAATTTGATTGTCAATACTTGTAGAATTTAAATGAAGATGGGTTTTAGATGAATCATGAGTTGATGATTCTAAATCATCACTTAAAAGATAACATTTTTCACCTTTAATTAATTCTAAGGCAGTTTTTAAATCAAACAAGGATATATTATGATATGGCTTAGATGATAATAATATGCCATTTTCTGTAAAATCTTTGGTTTGTCTTCCCATAATACCAGTACAACATATTCTTTAAACATATTATATATAGGTTAATAAATTATTAGTTACCTTTGATTTGTTTGGCAGAGTTGATCAAAAATTTTAAAACCTTGCCCAACACTTATGATCTCAACACCTTTAATATTATCTTCTAATGGAAAAAATGGGACGACTTTTATAAAGGTATATTTAAATGGTGAAATTTTGTATTGCGCTAATTTATTTCTAATAAGTGAAATAAAATAAGATGGAGGATGATTTGATTCTTTTAATATGGGAATTATTCCGTCATTTAGAATTCTACGGGATGATTTGAACATGATATTAAAAGATTTTCAGATTAAATGTCATTTTTGTTAAAATTAGAAAATTGACATGTGTCATCAATTAATAGGTGACATATACAAATCATTATACAATCAAAACCGTGTAATTATATATCGTTTAAGTGCAAACAACAAAAAAAACCCACGATTTTGATAGAAATTACCATGGCATAATATTAAATTATAGCGAATAGGTTAATTACGAAATATCTGATAATTGCGATTTTTCAGGTCGCACTTGGTTCCAAGTCAATTCGGCGCGGAAAATTCAGCATGGAAAATTTGGGGCGGCATCAATTCGGCGCAGCGTCAATACAGTGCGGCTACAATTCGGCGCAGAGTCAATTCAGCGCTGCAACAATTTAGCGCGTAAAAGGATGATAAAATAGAAGTCATTTTAAATGTTAGTCCTATTATTTATTTATTTATATTATTTTTACAAAAATTTCAATTATATTTACGAAATATGTAAAATCAATACAAAATTTAAAAATATCAAAAAAATTAACAAACAATATTTATACCAATTTTTTTGTTAGACCAATTTACTACATTATATGATGTATACACATTATTTTGGCCAAAATCATGATCGACAATTTTTAAAAATTAACTGAAATCTTCCATTTAACAACATTAATATTGATCCAAAAAAATTTAAATTAAGAATGACTCATTTTATAGATTTATTGAAAATCCTTAAAATAATTCTATTAATCATTTAAAAAATATATATAATGTTTAGGTTAATTTTTCTATTATAAGATAATCAAAAACGAATCAACGCACAATTTTTTTATTTATTTATAAATCAACTATAAAATATATAAATATACTATTTAATACATGCAAAATATATTTATAAGAACATTAAAAATAGATAACAATAATATGTTTGTAAATTAAAATTATATGCGATCCCCCTTAAATAATCTTTAATTGGGCGATTTAAATAGTCAGATACAATTAATATAATATTTTCAGTTGTATTCCGATAAACCTTTCTTGATCTCCTGGGTTGCGTGCCAGAAATATATTATTCATTTTTTGCTTCGGTTAACGATTGTTCTAAGCGTAGAGCATATAAAAATTTCCAAATAGAAGGATGGTGCAATGATAGTAGAAATGAGAATGCTCTTCAACCTTTAAAAAATAATTGCAAAGTAAATTATAAAAAATGATTGTGTTATAATAATCAAAAGATAGCAACTGTTAAAAAAAAATTACCTTCAATTGTATTATTTGTTTTTGGAATTCCCTCCAATATAGCAGCATATTGATCCCAAAAAGAAATCGGAAACGGTGCTTATCTATCTCCATCTTGAAATAATTTGCCAATCCAATTCACATTATGATATGTGAGAAGATTATCGTCGAAGACCCTTTCATTATTTTGATAAAATGGTGCTTGTTAAGTCCGCAAAAGCAGAGTTGTACATTTGCTCAAAATAAAAGATCGTAAAATTTGAAGATCTTTTATTTTTTTAAAATTTTGTGTGCTGCGATCAACGATCTTCAAAGATCTTCATGATATTTATTTTTTTACCCCTTTATTAAAAGCCCAGATGTTTTTCAATTTTATTAATATACTATTTCTTTTATGTTTTATACCTCTCCTCCTGCCTTGATGAAAATTGAAAAACATCTGGGCTTTGGGTAAAAAAATAAATATCATGAAGATCGTTACACAAAATTTTTAAAAAATAAAAGATTTTCAAATTTTACGATCTTCAAAGATCTTGCTCAAATTTTTGAGCTAGATCTCGCTCAAGAAGATCTTTTGTACAACTCTGCACAAAAGGCATCAAATACATCATCCACAAGAACAAATGCAAGAGAGAGCATTTGTAATTTTTATTGACCATTCATTTCCTGTATCTCCATCTAAATAATTTGCTAACAACTCACTATCACATTGTATGTGTCTCCAAATCGCTTGTGAAAAAACACCCTCTTACAGTTATTGATGGAAATGATAAAAGCATTTATTTCCGCCTGCTCAAAATCGATCATTACCGATATATGATTTAGATTATTTGCAATCTTGTTATCTCATCCAAGACCCTTAAGGGGATTTAAGATTTAACATAATTTTGGTAATTCTTATGATATTTATCAGGGTGGTATTTTGTTTTTTTTAAAACTTTTATAATTTTATTTTCAATTAGATATTTATAATTTCAATACCTCTAATGTAAATAAATAAAAATAGCGCATTAACGTCGGGCCGATTTGGGCATATTTTTAAAAACGGTCGATTAAGATTTTAGCCAAAATAATGTGTAAGATTTGAGATAGAGGTCCATACCTTTCTTTTCCGAATTGTCGCCGCGCCTTATTGTCTTTGCGCTGAATTGATGCTGTACCGAATTGACGTGATACCGTCGCATTCTTTTGACAACGTTAATTTAATTGGATAAGTTAAAAAATAAAAAAATTTTGACGAAAAAAATTATTCCTGATTTTTGTTATATGAAACTGCCTCTTTAACTTTTTTTCATGCCAAAATGATAATTTTATTATTTATTATAATCATGTTATAGAATACGTTAACTATCAAGCAAAATGGGAAAATCATTAAAATATTCTGCACTACTTCAAAAACACAATTAGCGTTAAGTTATAATCATATTTCCATAATTTACAGATTGTAAGCTATAAAGCAATTATATGCTCACAATTTCTAAAGAATGAACCCCCTGCCACTAAAAGAGTTAGAATGAGTTGTTACCCAAAGATAGAAGCGACTTTATTGGTTTGGTTTACCCAAATGCGAAGTAAAAATTGCAGTCTAAATGGGCCAGTGATAGAGATGTAAATTTCCCGGGAAAATTGGTTCAGGAAATGGGATAATAACGGGAAATTAAAAATAACCACAAAATACACTTTAGACCTTTCAATTTATTTTATTAAATAACTTTATTAAATTTGAGGTAATATGGGAAAATAAAATAATTAAACAATAAAGACAAAAATACACTGTAAACATTTCATTTTTTTATTGAATAACTTTATTAATTACAAGAAGCATGTATTATAAATAACATTTAAAATTCATGGGATGCTAATTAAATAGCATCAACATCTTCTTGGGATGCAATTGAAATATCATCATTATCACTTGATATTGATAAATAGGAACCCTTTTGATTATATCCCGAACATGATGTTTTTATGTGATCCTTTAAATGTATGTTATACCTGATTGATATTAATTTTTCGATTCTTTTATTCTTTATTCTATTTCTTTTTAAATGAATTTTTTCAAATGCTGACCAGACTCTTATATACCTGCTCAAAAATATTGAATACTTCTTGCATAAATATTAAAATTTTAAAAATAAGAATTTAAAAATGATTATATTTTATTAATTTACATATAGTTTGGTATTACAATTCAAACTTATATAATTTTAAAAATGTACATAATAACCAAACGAATTTAATTCAGATTAATTAAATAATTTGATATATAAAAAATTATAATAAAAAAATTGGCTGCTATTGAGAAATAAAAATGAAAAATAATTCCCAAAAATAATTATCAAAAATGAGAAGAAAAAAATTGAGAAAAGATCAGAAAAATAAAGATTAAAAATGACTTAAAGGGATTGAAAAGGTTGGAAATGTATGTAAAAGATTGCAATATAAGGAGTAAAAATCATAAAAAGTCAGAATATTATTATGTATGATGGAAAAAAAAGTAAAGAATTGTTTAAAAATGGGAGTAGAGAAGTGAAGAAAAGTTTAAAAAGACAAAAGAATTATCAAAAATGAGAAGAAAATTGAGAAAAGATATAGTAAGAAAAATAAAGTAAACAAATCGCAAAAAGATAGAAATAAAATATGAAGGAATAATAAAAATAAATAAAAATTTAAATTGACAAGAAAAATAATTTAAAAAATAACTCTTTTTTGATTGACACTTTTCATTTTTTGACTGGACCTTTTTCTTTTTTGTTTGACATTTTTCATTTTTTGATTAAACCTTTTCCTTATTTGTTTTACATTTTTCCTTTTTTGATATGACTTTTTTCCTTTTTTGATATGACTTTTTTCCTTTTTTGATATGACTTTTTTCCTTTTTTGATTGAACCTTTTCCCTTTATGATTGACCTTTTTCCTTTTTTGATTGAACCTTTATCCTTTTATGATTGACCCTTTTCCTTTTCTGGTTGGGACTTTTCCTCTGTATATAAAATTTTCCTGAACAATCTTCTTCTGGATGCATTATCCTACATTATATCACCAGGTCTTGTTAGATAATTAAACGTTACATACACAATTAAAGCTTTCTAATATGAATTAGTAAGATATTCAATGACTTCATAAAAAATTAATTTTAATATTTTAATATATAGCGGTAATTTTAAAAATAATATATGAATATTTTTTTTACTATTCGGATTCAAATAATATTCGAAAATATTAAAATTGTAATATGAACATTAACGATCGAATAACAAAAAAGATTGGAATCTAGTATCGAATATAAAGTAGGAACTAGACAATGTAGATATCTATTAAAGATATCATTTAATTGAAAAAATTTAAATACTTTGAATATGAATGATATAAATAATTATTAAATAAATGAATTATATATTTATATAGATATGGTTATATATCCTATTCGATTCCTCCATCCTCTATTTTGAGCTAATTTAGATGCCTGTTTAATCGAAAATGGGAATTCATTGTTTATTATTCTAGACATATAGGCATAGTAGTAGTTTAATTAGAGCACTCTTTTCTCATATCTTGATGAGATGTAAAACAAGATCGGGTTGTTTGTGGGAAATTTAGTCTTACGAACCATAACTGCCCTTAAAATAAACTTGAAATGGCTACAGATATAATTCTAGACAGTATCTCTTTACTCACTTGTTTCAAATAAATCTTTGCAGATAGTTTAGAAAACATTCAATATTCGAATGTGTTTTTTAATCAGGATCTATGTATCGCATCCATAATTTAAGATAGGAATGCACGTCGAAGCAAAGCAGTTTTTAGTACAGGTTTAATATCTGAATTTTATATTGAACTTAAGGAATGCATTATAGGCCTTGTTTTAATTTTTTTTTCATTTGAGCATATAGAATCAAATATTTTAAAATTATTTTCTTTTGAAAAATATTCATTAGGTTTATAATTGATATAGGTATCAATAGTTATTATTTGTTCGGATATTGATATTACCTTTGTTTGACTTTAATTATGAGTGAGGTAAGAAGATAAAGGGCTATTCTTTTGATAGAGAAATATAAGATGATTTAATGAAATTATACTATAGTATAAAGTGATTAAGAGCTTTACTAAAATCTATATACACTATCAAGAGGGGGGGGGAATAGATAATTTTATAATATACAAATGTATATTTGTTGAGCACATGATCTATTTTACGGGGAAATGTCATACGACAATCTACTTTAGAATAAAGTTAGTTAAGAATAATTTTCTTAAAAAGAGTAGCAGTTATAGGTGTAAGAGACATACCGTGATAGTTTGATATTATAAGATTTAAAAAAATTAGGAACAGGAATTATCATTTAGAGTTATGAAGGTGTTCTTATTGAATAGTATAGTGAGCTCTTTGCTCTTTGGTGTTAGTTGACAGCAACAAAAACTATTCCATTTATGGAAAATTTGTCAAAGATCAATGTTTATATTTTGAATTTCTGAAAAGCTGGCCTATAAACTCAGCCAAATTATCAATAAAATTTAGGCCCGGACTATGGCCCAAAATTAGTAATATTTTAGTTCCTTCATTTCTTTTTTTACTCTTATATTTTCAGTTTCGGAGGCCTTTTTAGGTTTTCAGTTTTACAAATTTATGTCGATGAAATTGTGTAATATTTTTATGTTGATCCATCAAATTTATTGATTTAGGATTTTGAATAAAATTGTTTTTATTTTTTATTTTATAATTTTTAATTGTCTTTGTGTAGTAGAGTATCCATTTGAGATATTAAGTCTAGAGTTTGCTGATATTTATATACAATTTATATTATTTTTCTTCAGGTGAATTAGTGTGGGGATGAATTTTAATTTTACAAAGAGTTAAGTGAAATTGAAATATACATTCTATTTGAGTTATATCCCATCATATTTTTTAATTTTTTTAAAATTTAAACAAAAACCAAAGAACTAGAAGTAGGCGCAGGCCGTGAAAATCTGGAGGATGCGATGTCTATGCAATACCAGTTTTCTTCTTTTTTTTAAAACATATTTTTGAAATTTTTTAATTATATTCTATATTTTATAAATAAAAAGAAACTTATACGCTATAAAAAAAATAAAAAATTATCGGCAGTTTTTTTTCACACCCGAAAGGGGTAACCGAATTTAATTATTTTCTAAATAGTGAGATTTTTAAAAATTAATCAACTTTCTTTACACATTTTATTAAACAAATTATTCTTTCCAAAATCTATCTTTTATTACCAAATTTATAAATTTATTTTTCGGAAAATTTTTTAATTAATGCCAACCTCATTTAGTTCGGTTTCAAGTATGATTTTCTCTAACCAATAATGGAGTAGAGTAGAAACGCAAATAAAATAAAAAAACACATTGGCATTTTTCATTTAATTGATGTTTGAATTAATATTAAATTAGAAATGCTAAAACAAGGTTATATTATTTTTTTTTGAATGATTCCTACAACAACTTTCCAAAATAGATTTCTAAGAAAATAATAAATTTTGACTCGAAACATATTAATAATTTTTTTTTGTTATTTTTGTAAAATTATGAAGATAAAAAATGGCAGGATCATAATATTTGACGATTAAAAAAATTAAAGGTAAAATGAATAAAATTTCAAAAATGTGAAAATATTAACATGAGTTAAAAATTTTAGATAAAAAAAATGTAATTCGAATATAAAAAGTAGTTCGTTAAATTTTTGGAATCGTGATTGTCACGATAAAAGTTTTATCTTTCATGAGTTAGAGGTTTTGTCTAAAAATTTTTACCATCACGTATGAATGTGGCGTGATTTTTTTTATAGGCAGCATGAGCAGCAGGTTCAGGAATAAGCCTACGCCATCTGTTTAGAGCCAATTTCTACTGAGTCTTATCGGTCATAGTAAGAGCCAAATACCAAAATATCTCTCCAAGCGTTATGCAAATTTATCACTAAATGATAAAAGTTCCTTAATTTAACATTAAATATTTTGTTAAGTTAAGCATCGCTAAGGACATCGCGGTATTTTGCGCTTTCTACAAGTGATATCTCATATTTCATCAAATACTAGTTGATAATTATTATTTAACAGATGGAGCTATTATTTATTTCTTGAACAAGTAGATACAAAAATAAAATCATAAGTAAAAACTATTCAATTATATTTATATTATAAAACTTAACTTTTCATTTTTTACATTCCCCCTCTCCCCCAACAATGACGATTTTACCACTAAAATTTACCCCCCCCCCTTCTCCCAAACTTTTCTAAATGCCTATAACATTTTCGAATATGACTATCTTGCCTCATACCTAATATTATGAAAGCATCAAGGTTTTGTAAATAGAGATCCAAAATGAGCAAAATCTCCAGGCTTACACAATATTATTTTGGCTGAAATCTTATCGGCCTATCTTAAAAAATAAACTTTAGGGATAACAGATTAAAATATATCATTTTAATGTATATAAAATTACTTTCGCTATTTGCTTGCTGTTTTTTTATGATTTGCATCCATAATAATGCCTCTGATTTATGAAATATCTAGTTTGCAAAAACAAATTTACTCTCCGTTTATTATCATTATAAAAAAAATTGTATATTTCTTTTTTAAGAATTTTTTTCAACTGGTGATTCAAAAAATTTTAGCGGGATGATTTGGAAAAAACTGGCATCAAAATTAGATAACTTATAATGCTCACATCACAAAAAAAGGAGAGAAATATATTTTAAAAAAATAAGCCAATCATAAAAGTATATCTTGAATTGGCCTGTGAATTATATCCATAAATTACTATTTATAACTAAACAAGCCTATTGACGCAAATTGGCCTTAACAACCATAACTTATAATTTATTTATCATTTTTTTAAAAAAAATTTATATTTTTTTTTATATGAAACTTATTGTAAATAAATTTAAATAATATCACCTCAATCACACCTGTAAAATAAATATTAGACAAATGGTGTTTTTATATACTACGTTTAAACATGTTACATTAAAATTTGACAAATATTTAAAAAGAAATATATAATATATTCTTCTGCTAATTAGGGTCCCTTATATTAAATTCTCAAACCAGAACTGGGACCCAATATCTGAATTCCCTTTTGCCGGGAATCTGAGCTGCTAAATATGGATTTTTAAACCTGATAAGTAGAAAATCTTGCATTAAAATCTCGCAGATATAAGTAGGCTATGAAATATAGTTGTTAAACAGCCCCCGATATAGCAGATTTTAGATTAAGATTTTAACCAAAATATTATCGCGTAAGACTCAAAATTTTGCAAATAGGCCATCTAGAAGTAAAATCGATACTAATATGATAAAATTTTCGTTCTCTTGTCTTATTTAAAAAAATAAATAAAAGGTACCAAAAACATTTAAAAATATCGACATTATTACGATTTAAGCATAAACTTTAAAGAGATAATGTTATATAATAGATTGAAAACCGTATAATAATGATTTTTAGGATCGAAATTTAATCATTTAAAAAAAATTTAATAAGCAGTAAAAATATTTTTAATAAATACAACCAAATATTTTTTTATATCAATTTAGAGTTATTATTATTCTAATATATCCAAAAAAATTGACCTGAAAATATCTTTTGAATTTATTTTGATGACCTCCAAAAATATATTTGAATAATTTATATTTGTTTAAAATTAAATTTTTTTTTTTATCACCGTTAAAAAAAATTTTGGTATCAATTTTAATTTATGTAATTATAATTAATTTTATAATTTTTTCTTTAAGTTTTTACAACACAAAATATTAAATTAAAATAATGATAATAACGAAATCTTAAGGCCCATAAGTTTAAAAAAATATGCGTAAGAAAAAAATACTTAATTCGATTCGAGTTTAAGACACCTAGCATTTTAGAACTAAGGGTAAAAAACCCTTAAAATGCGATTATTTTCTGTAAATGAGTTATGATTTTTTTTAATGTTTGGGAAAAAAGTTTAAAAACTTACAAGCTACGACCTAATTGCGAAATAATGATTCTATTCAGAAACAGAGCTAGTACACCTTTCTTTTTGTTTTTTAATATATATATTTTGTCATAAGACACCTTAAAATGCCCAAAGCATACTTTAAGGCACACACTGACTGGCAATTTAAATTCGACAAAGACACAAAGGATTTAGGCCTAAGTTTCTTTTTAAAAACTATATACTCAAAAACGTAGTTTAAACAAAAATATTTAGGGACGCTGAATTCTAGGCCACTAAATGCACGACAATAATTCAAATTCCAAAAAATTGAATTGATTAGTTAAAAATTAAATTGAATTGAATTAAATTATATATTATTTTTATTTATAAATTTATAAATAAACAATCAATCTTCTTTTGTTTATTATCATAGTAATATTTTATGTATTAACCGTAACCGCTTTTATATCTGATAAAAAAAAAATAATATATAAAAATATTAGAGCGCATGCGCCATAGAACTGATAAATAAATTATGTTTATTATTTTATTTCCGACAAATTTTTTTTTAAAATTTAAAATTTAATTTTTGAATCACCTTTTTTTATCTATGCTATTCCTTATACCTTATTCCTAAATTAACCTTTATATAGTATACAATATAGTAAATTCTCAATAATTAGGAAAATCCACATTCAAATTACCCTCATAACAAGTAAATTCATTTTTATTTTAACCATGTTAAATTTTTATTGAACTAAGGATATTATTGGAAATATAGTTCATTGAGTTTTATATAAGATATACATATTTTTAATAATCATTCATTTGATTTCTATAATAAACTAACTAGATATACAACGAAATTTAGTCTAGTCGATTTATTTACATATTTACTTCAAGAGACCTATTTTAAAATATAATTTTTTAAAATATGTTACAAATTATGATTTTAATGCAAATAAAATGAAAGAAAAGAGAATGGGATAATTAAATAACTTTATATACGTAGAGATATAACAAATTAAAACAGTTTTTTTTAAAAATTTTGAAAGACCTGACTATGCCGGATGTAATGTTGTTAAACCACTCGATTTTTAAAAACAGCTAACCTGACATTTTAGCCAAAAATATTACGTAAGCTTGGCAATTTTGCCCATAGGTGGCAGAAAGGTTTGAACATCTATTAACGAAATCTCTAAGTTTGCGCAATTTTTTTGGCTAAAATATTGAATTAGCCGTTTAACAACACTAGCCGGATGGGCGTTCCATCATGTATATAGCATTTACCTTGTAAATACTAGACAAAATTGCCTCTGCTACTCAAATATTATTAATTTGTAATTTATATGCAGATTATTCAAATAAATTAAAGATGAAAATTAAAAATGTATAAAATTTATGGCGAAATTATCTGAAATTTAGAATGTAGGCGCTCCACTATCTGTTAAATAATTTAAATAAACTAGCCTCCCATCCAATTTGAAAATACCACCTCCCTTAACTACACATAATTGTTAATTTTTTACGGGATAAATACTTCCCAGTTGCACAAGATATATATATTTAATATCGTTAAAATTTCGTGAATATGGATTTTTAATTAGCAACTATTTATTGCTTATTTATAAATTTCCTATATTATATAACAATGAAACAGAGCAATTGACATAAATAAGAAAGTTAATTTTTTTTAAAAAAATTAAGCGGTTAACGCTTATTCCTTTATAAAATAAACCCTCTATATCGCAGATATATCGATATGTAAAATTTTGAATATTCATAAAAAAAAAACATTTTTACCAATATGCACAATACATTTTATCGATTAATGATATAAATGATTTTCTCTTATCCAATATTAATAAATTTCTTTAGAATTTTGAGGTCAATGAAAAAAAAGGAAGATTGCAGGATTTAAAATAAATGTAAATAACATTCAAAATGGAAATAATTCCAGTATAACATGTAATAATAAATTTTTTTAAATATTTTATACATAATAAAATTTTTTTTAATTTGTTTAAAAAAAACTCAGTGGGAGATTTTCCTCAATGATGGCAGAAAGGCTTGTACATCTATTAACGAAATCTCGAATCTTGCGTAATATTATTTTAGCTAAAATCTTTAATTTAAAATTGGCAAAATCAAGTTGTTTAACAACACTAAGTCTATTATATATAAAATGTATGATTAATTTTATTTCCTTGTTTATTGTATATAATATTAAAAAATTATTTTATCCATTCATTTTCATAACTTTTAAAAAATAGAAATTGGATGTGTGTTTACAGATTGGATCAAAATTAATATAGTATTTGAGATCTGTAAGACCCAGCCCATTAAAAAATTTTGCACAAGTTGCCAGAAATTTTCCAAAATGTCAGGTCTGGACGGTTAAAATTTTACGAAAGTCTGCGACCGGCCAGTTAAATTGTATTGTACTAATTTTCAGGGCATCACATTTTTAATATCTATCTATTTTTTCCCAATGATTAGTCAGCTCTTAAAATAACGAAGTAATAAACATCTTTTAATCTTCAAATACTATCAATCATAATAAAAAAGTTGGCTTTAAATTTAAAAATAAATCAAAATTTTTAATGCCTATTAAATTTTTTCTAAAAATAATGGATTTGTGAGGGCCTGTCTGATTTTTATGTATATTAATGAATGGACCGGAACCAAATTCTTTATGTACAAATTGTCCTGCCCATTATAATATTTTAAAAATTTACCCGGAGTGGGTCAAGCATCACAGATCTCTATATATCATTAAATAAGGTTACAGCTATAATTTAGTACATTTGTAAACATTTATGTGAATTATAAGGTGTAGCCAAAAATTTTCTGCCAGGAATGGGCACTATTAGGTGAGTTTTCCCTCCTATATATTTCTCGGAGGTTTTTAGTATAGTTGGGTAATCACTATATTTTTAGTCGTTTAATTTTTAGCCGGCTAAACAATCAGCTAGCCTTGTGGTTTCTCAAAATATAGCAGCTCAAATTTGAAAGAAACTAAAACAAAAAAAACCTTAATGTTAACGGATTAGTTCCGCCACTCGCCTGTAGATTAAGCTGAATAAGTCGACTTTAAGCCATTACCAACTATAGTCTTTAGGTCCACTTATTGTCACCCTTTGGCTGTGCTGTGTTTATATTTTTATAATAATAATTTTGGTTATTTATTTTTTTCCCATAAAAATTGTCAATTATACTTCGTTTATTTTTCTTTCAAATTCTTGTTTGTAATAATATATTGTATAAATTCTTTGGGGAAGAGGATGTGTGTGGGGAGGGGGTGGGGTTATTATTTTGAAAGGATCCCCCCCCCACCCCGGCTACGCTTGTAATGTGAATTATTTAACTTTACTTAAATATAATTGGTATTATTTTGTATATCATTACACCACATATAATATAAATTTTTTTATTAGTGATACAATTATACATATTCACATTAATAAATACAATTATAATAGCTTTTATTCCAAGTTTGCAACTCTAACAAAATAACGATGTAATGTATCCTTGAGAAAATTCGTTTTTATAAAATAAAATTTGTTTAAGAATACTTATCGAAAGTTTCTCACTAGAATACTTATTTTCTACGCAGACCTTTTCATGCGAAAGGCGAAAAAATATTTCATAAATAATTACTTTATTTATAAGAAAAATAATAATCTTTGCCTTGATGGTCCTCCCTCTTACCTTATATATAGTAATGGTTAAAATATTATCCTAGGGAAAGGTGTCTCTTACCCCGGCACACGTGGCTATAGCGTCTGCAGTGAAAGGAAAGGCATAGACCCTTATACTTAATGTTCCAAAATACTTAATTGTTACCAACACTTATTTGAACAATAAATATGATAATTTTGTATGTTTTTGAAAAAAGTTAATAAATCTTGATGAAATTCTTAGTATTATTTCTATCAGTATTTTTTTTTTATTCATTTTTACCGGTATAAAATTACTGTTTATTACTTTCTCAGCATAAATAATAGAAAAAATTAGTCATTATTTTTTTAATTAGTAAAATAAAAATTAAGCAGTAAAAATTTAATTATTAGTAATATAAAATCACCTTTTTCCTAACCCTGCAATCACAATTAGTGAGAATTCGCGGACAAAAATGAATGTATAATTATTATATTTATATCATAATTTGTATACTTCGCCGCTAATTCGCGCTCCTGTGAATACAGGGTAACGATGACCATTGAGTTTAGCCTTATTAAAAATAAAATAGTTAATTCAATTTATACAAACAACTCATTAAATTAAATTGCTTATATTATATTTAATAATATAGAAGTAGATTAATAATACTTCATTTAATCTAAAAATGATGTTTAAATAAAAAAAAATTGATGACCCCAACAAAGATTTCCACTTTAGTCAACAGATTTACCTCAAATAGCCGATCCAATTTTCTAAGTATTCACTTTTCCCTATGACATGTTCCTTTTTTTTTGTTTTTAGTAAAGCCTGTCTAATTTGGGCACAATTGCGGACATGCATTTTCGCTCAATTTAAATACTTTCCAAATTTATCAAGACATTTTCTAATAGATGTTACTTAATGGGAATTTGATTAGAACTTAAAATTTTGGTCAAATTAGAAAGTTATCAAGAGCCCAAATTAGATAAGTTTTACGGTATAATTTTTTTTTAAATTATGTGATCATATGAAATTGAAAATGTTTGATTATAAAAAAAAATTAATACAATAATGAATTTATTTTACCGGTAAATGAATTTAAATATTCTTCTTATTTTACTGGTATAAAATAAATTGAAAAAAAAATATATATTCACATAAAAGGGGTAAAGTAATTTTACTAATAAAAATGTAAGATTTTTTTTATGAAAAATATTAATGTTAAAAAACGTGTTTTCCACCTCAAATTAAAAATAATACAACTGGCAAATTTATCAAAATACCGAAAATATTTACATGAAAATCTTAATACTGATTTCATTTATTATTTATATCGGTAAGATAAAATAAGTTTGATGGGGTGGGGTATGTATGTGTACATTAGCCATTTTTGTTATTATATCGAAAAAAAAATATAATTACAAAAACGGTTAATTTCGAATAAAGTACTTAAGAAATAAGAGCCTTTTAAAAATTATTATTCTTAGCAGAGTTTTTTCAAAAATAAGATCGTCCAGGCAGGTTTTATAAAGCCTAACGCCGATTCTGGGGGTTATAAAGTAATTTAAAAGTTAATAAACTAATATTTAAAAAAACTTCGGTTTGAATATTTAAATAAAAATTTATTTTTTTATTACACATACTACCTACCAACAACATAGTTCTCCTTAACGCCATTATGTCACGTAATCAATATGGCGAAACAAGTTTTATTTATTATACGCTCTCATATATAAATGTAAAACTAAAATATTTTGATATTTTTTGAAGGAAAACCTTTCTCAAGCCTGGTCTGAGAGAAAATATATTTTTTACAGTTTACTAAATAAGCGAACTCAATCGTTTAAATTTAAATATTTAGAAAAGAGTTCTATGGCTGTGTCATCGATGGCTTAATTTTAATACTTAATTACTTTTTTAGTATAGGCTTAAAAAGTATAGGAACGAGGAAACCCTTTTTTGGCTTGTTTTAAGCAAGAACAAGTTCGTCTTTTTTTAAAAAAGCATACTTAAAAGCAATGAAAAGTAAAAAAATTTTTGTGTCTTACTTGTTCATAATTTTTGATTTAGATTTAAATAGAGAAAAAATTGAATAATAAATAACATAATTATAGGATAAAGATTGCTTAATTATATAGATTATATAATATATATTTTTGTAATAAATTTAATTTCTATGCACAAATAAACATAATTGTGTTATATAAAATGGTGGATCAATAATTAAAGCTTATTAATTCAATTAATAAAATTTAAGGTGTATTTACCACTTGTTCATCTAAAATATAATAATAACTATATGTTTAATCAAAGAAATTAAATGAGTGGCATGATTAAAATCTTTAATTTCCTCATACTTTTTTGGCTATATAGTCGATAAAGCAGACTAAATATCCGGCTATTGATAAGTCGACCTGGGGACAGTCTATGTGTTAGCTTTTATTTTTAACAAAAAAAGAGAAGGGTTGATTATTATATGAATAATATATTAAATGAAGGATGGCAGTCAAAAACCAAACCTTTTATCCATATATTGTATATTTTGTTCAAAATTCCTAATTAAATTTAATGAAAAATAAACATGGTAAAATATTATACATTACACTTACGCTCATGATTAACCAATCCCATAAAATAGTAATTTGACATTGAAAAATAATGATGAAATAAAATTATAATCGAATTTTTTCAAGAAATCAACATATGATATTATAATGAATAAATTGATTGTTAAAAATATGTTTTTTTTTCGTAATTCAGATCAAAATTAACCCAAAGTCATGCGAACAAACTTGACATCATTAACTTGCATGCTATTATATACTTAGAGCGATTAATGATTTAATTTGACATTACATAATTATATGCTTCTTGTATTTTATTACGTTATATCTTTTCCTCATTTTTATTGTTCGAATTTTGGCCATAAACTTTCTATTTCTTTTAGTTTTTATGGTATACCTTCTATTATTAGTGATTACAGACAGGGTTGCCAGGTCAAAATTTTCAAATTGCAGGAGAAAATTGGTATTTTGCGGGTGAAATATGAAAATTGCGGTAGAAATATAAATATTGCTAAAAAAAAATTTTGCGGGTCGTTGGAAATTAGCTTAGTTATCCCCCTATTAATTCTTATAATTACTTTATATAAATATTAACAAAGTTGATAACTAATTTCAAAATAGGTAATATTTTCAAAATAACATCTTTGTAGTGGAGATACTTTATTATATTATGTAAAAAATCTTTATTAAATTCCTAATATATAAAATGATACATAAATATTCTTCAAAAATATAAAAAAACTCATCGCAGGACTACAGTTCCCCAAAAACATGAATAATTATATTTTAAAATGGTAATTTATATAAAATTTGATAAATAATATATTATTTATTAAAATATATTAATTAGAGACCTACAGAGGTGCCATTTGCACGTCTCGACCCAGATTTTTTTTTAAAAATATTTTTGGGCCGGCCCGGCCAGGGTTTTATGTTTTCAGGCCTCGACCTAGCCTTATTTAAAATATATTATATTTATTTTTGATTTTTATAGCTAATAATGGTGATTTCAATTAAAAAAATTTTCAGGCCCGATTCCGATATTTTTTAAAAAAAAATTTCACGCTCGGCCAGGGTAAATTAAAATATGGTCCGGCTCGTGTACCCGGGTGGGCTTGGGATCGGGTCTGCAGGTCTCTGATAGTTATTAAATTACAAAAACCATCAATTGATAAGCTCATAATAACTATACATTTGTAAATCGAGTTATTGGAATCAGATTTTTATTGCAAATATTATAAAATTGTCTTAATAAAAATATTTGATTTTTTAAAAAATACATTAGAGTAATATTTGAATATTGTAATATGATATTTTTAGCAATGCGCCATAAAATTTATTTTCAATTATTAACTGTAAAGATGAACACAGTTTCAGCATAATTTTGTGAATCTTTATTAAAAAGATTTTTATTGCAACTGCATATTAACAACATGTAGTAGATTTCCTACATCTAAAATCATTCCTTAATAATATACCTCTTCCATTTCATTCTCGAAAAAATTTTTCAAAATATTAGGACAGCTTTTATAATTTTTATTTAAGAAATATTTTTTCAAAAGTTAGTTAAATTTTAAAATTCTATTGATGGCGGGTATTAATGATAACCACCGGGCATGTCGTAGCAACTCACAATATTACAAGTCAGACCACTCCACCATATCTGTTAATTCATTAACTCTATTAGTTGATTAATTAAATTCGTTAAAATATTTCATTACAATAATGTCGATATCCAAAGATAATACATCCATTACCTTCTTGCAAGAATTATGTAATATATGGTATATACACCAATTGGTATTAAGTCAACATTGTGCTTCCTCAATTCTATAAATACACTCTGGGTTTTGCCAAAATTTACTGAGGCATTATCAGCACAGAAAGCTGATATATTTACTTTTATATGGTTAGCTATGTTTTGGATTTTTCACTATTTTCGGTAAAAAATTTTAATAGTTTTATAGAAACATCCTAATTTTGGTGAAATAGCGGAGGATGGAAATATTTTAATATTTCCCTTATTAGATGCATCTGTTAGAATTGCATATGGATGTCCATCTTTCAAATCGTTAAGAATTAATCTCCTGGATTAAGGTCCTAATTTTTATTCCACCACAAGTGAAGTTTTCACTTATCTTAAAGTCGTTAAATATTATGGGTAAAAGATTCGATCCACATTGGATGATAAGTAGCTCTGTGAATGTTGAACTATGTGATAAGTGTATACCATTTCGGAAATTGTAGTTGTATCTATTATTTCTTATTTTTGGAATTGCAATAGATGTAGATATACTCCCCCGCACTGATAATAATAATGTGATTGATCTATAATAAATAAAATAATTATCATTGAAATAAGTATAAATTTACCTTATTATGTGTTTAAACGTGATAATTAAGCGCCTAGCCCTATAATGTTATACAGATGAATGAATGTTGTTTTATTATTGGATAAAAATAAAACATATGAATAAGGTAAGGATAGAGAGAAATATACAAACTAGACATGATTTTTGAATAAATATCTAAAATTCGTTTTAAAAATATAAAAATAATCAATTACTATTTCTCAAAATTATTATTTATATATTAAAAACGTTAAAATGCTTAAAAAAATTGTGCGGGAGAAATTTAAAAATTGAGGTAGATTTCCAATTGCGGTAGATTTCCAATTGCGGTAGTTTTATGGGTGTTATATGTCTATGTGTAAACTAAAAAATTGCGGGAGTCTCCCGCTAATGGGGAGAGACCTGGCAACCCTGATTACAGATAGAATCTGTCAATCTTTATTATATGCTTTCATTTTTCTTAGAAGTATTTTTGTATTTAAGCGCCCATAGATGTCAAATAGAATCATTATTTTTATATAAATATATATCGTAAAATAAATTTTAAACTAGAAATTTTTTATTTAAAGATTATAAAAAATTTTTTTTTTACTTATTAAAAAAAGTTGTCTTTAAAGGGTTAAATAAATAGTATAATTAAATGCCTCTTCTTCTCTAATTAATTATTTAAAATTGAATTTTTTTATAAATTTCCATAATGTTCGTTTTTTTTAAAAAAATAATTCATTTATTTTTGGAAGATAAAAAAAATTATGCCCACAGGACAAAATAATTCATCGGATAAAGGGCAAGATGATGAAGGAGACGGGGATGGAACGCCAGGCGATGAGGACCTAAAGGGCAAAAGGTTGAACGATTTATCAAATATTCGTAAAGAAAGTAATGCGGTTAACGTTTCGGTACCAACCACAACCTCAGGTATAAACGCGAATGGAAACACGATAACGTCCAACACTTCCCTCACGACTCTCAATGGATTGATTCTGCGAAGACAGCTATTGACGGAACCGACCAAGAAGATTGGGGGGAAAATCATGGGAGTTGTGGATAAAAGGATGGCTCGGCATATGTCTCTAAAGAAACAACGACAGACATCTATATCCTCTTTAGATGATTTGAAACAAGAGCTAGATATAGTTTAAAATATTAAATATTTTTAGAGTTCTGCATCTTTTTTTTAGTTCCAATTTTAAAATTCTTATATATTGGACTATTGAAAAAACGATATTTGAACGAAAGCGAAAAAAATTTATAATTGCTGTAGGATAATAAAAATAATTTGGTTATTCTTGAAAATTAAATATATCAAAACAATTAGAAAAACGAAAATTTAAAATTTTATTGAAGCCAGAGTCTGATCCGCAGTGTTGTTAAACGCTTTAAAAGTAGCGCGCTATTAGATACTTTTTACGCTATTTTGATTTTTTTAAAAATATTTTTTACATAACTTTATTTCCTTGCATTGAAACCGATACCCAGTAGTAATTTTTTCTTCAAGATTAAAGTATTTTTTTCAATTTTGGGAAAGGATAATCTATATTTTTCTCATTTTCCAAAGAAATTTCGCTATCTTCAACAATCTCACACATTTTTAATAACTAGATTTATAATGCTAACTAGATTTATAATGTATATTTTTAAATATAAATGTAAATTTCAAAATTAAATAAAATAAAAGGATTATAATTTAGATTTAATAAAAAATATATTTTAATAATTTTTAGATGCATTTATTATGCAAAATTGAAAGTAGTAGCGAGCTACCATCGCTATTTTCTAAAAAAAGTAGTCAGCTAAAGCTACCGCTACTGAAAAAAGTAGCCCGCTATTTTAACAACACTGCTGATCCGGTTCTAAATGGCATATAAAATTAAAGTCTGAATCTGACTAAATCCGATAAAATCTTGTCCTAGTAATCCGAATTTAGGCATATCGGATTCGATTTGAACTCGAATCGTTCGGCACAGGCGCTCTAATATATATAATATAAAGTTACTATATATTATCTTTTATTCGCATTATTATAATATGCTCTTCTATGTAAAAATTCAAGAAATATTTTATTTTTAAAATGCTCATCCTGAAAAATATTTAAAAAATGGACATAGAACCGTATAATACTCGGCCAAAGATATTATAATATTTAAAAGGAAAGTTGATAAGAATTATTTTTTTAAAATAAATTTAATACAATTTTTTTTTGTTTTATTACACAGGATTTTCATTACGTGGAAATAGAAGAATTATACGAAAGATTTGAGACTCATCCCATTAATGTAATATTAATTTTTTTAAAAACATAATATAATATATGTTAAAATAGGGGTTAACTTCGATCAAAGCCGAAGAGTTGTTAAAAAAACATGGCATGAATTCTTTGTCTCCACCTCCCAAAACCTCTGAATGGATAAAACTTTTTAAACAACTAGTTTCCGGTTTCTCAATTTTATTGATCATTGGATCTATCATGTGCTTCGTAGCGTATGCAATTCAATTTTCCTTAATAAATCGGGCGGTATCAAAGGACAATGTAATAAATAATTTTCCCAGTTTTTAAAATAATAAAAAATATATGTTTTATTTAGCTGTTTCTAGGAGCTGTGCTCGCAGTGGTTGTATTAATAACAGGTTTTTTTTCATATTACCAAGAAGCAAAAAGCTCGAGAATTATGGAATCCTTTAAAAAAATGATGCCACAAGTAATTCTCACACATTTTAAAATTAGATTTTATAATAAAAATTTATGATAACACTGTAGCGCGCATTGGTGATAAGGGACGGTAAGAAAATAGATATAAAAGTGGAAAATCTCGTTGTAGGGGACATTGTAGATATACGATTCGGTGATAGAGTTCCGGCAGATGTACGAATCATCAAAAGTCAAAGTTTTAAGGTGATATATATTTTTACTTCTTAACACATGGGGAAAAAGAAATACGTGGTTTTTAAAAGCCCATTTCAAGATTAAATATATTAGAAATATTTTAAATAGTTTTTTAACATTTTATATTTATATACAATATAATTAACATACCCCTAGGTTGATAATTCTAGTATAACTGGTGAATCGGAACCTCAACCAAGATCAAACGTTATGACGAGTCTCAATCCGCTGGAAACTAGAAATCTCGCATTTTTTTCTACCTATGCAATTGAAGGTTATAAGAATAACTCATAATTTATTTATAACAAAACCCTAATTGTGATAATCTTATGATATATAAGCTGACGAGGAAAGTTTTTTCAAAAGATTTTCATGATCTATATATTTTTTATAATAATAAAAGATGAAAATTAGGCAATTGAGCTAAGCCAAAATATATAGAAATACGATTTGCAAACTTTTGAAATTTTATAGAAAAAAAATATATAAACTTTTTTTAAATATAACAAAAACATGTACAAAATATAATTCTAGATCAAAAATTTAACATACGATATTAAAATTTTAAAACCACTGAAAGTTTTAAAACAATGCGAATTTTTTTTTATAAAAAAAATTGGACTTAGTCTTAAGTAAAATACAAAAACTTACCTTATCTCCTATTACTTTATTACGGGGATTTCCTTTTCTTCCATGCTTTCTGCAATTTACCATTTTCTCCCCTCTTCCGTCCAAAAAATAAGAAGAGAAGATAAATAATTAGATTTAAAAAAGAACATCTTGAATTAAATATAAAAGATATTTTTCTTTTTAGTGGTTTTTATTCTAAGAAGTTTTTTTCTATCTGCCATTCATTGTCTTTCCGATCAATTATAAACTATTATAATTGTGAAGCAAAATCGTTCCATTTGAGCCGATTTTTAAGATGGCTAACTCAGTATTTTATCAGAAAAATATTACGCAGGCCTGAATATTTTGCTCTAAGATGGCCCAAAGATTTGAACATCGGCAATATTTTTCTGTCAAAAATTTTGAGTTAGCCATTTTTAAAAATTGGCTCAAAAGGAGCGATTTTCCATCGATACTTTTATAAAGTATTTATAAAGCCTATAATTGACATTAATTAAGATAGTGGTTTATATTTATTTTTTCCAGAATAATTTATTTCGTTAATGTTGATGATTTAATTATCTTTCTCCTCGACTAGTAAAATATTTAATTTTATTAATTTGCTTTTGTTTAAAAGAAAATTAAATTTATATCAAATGTAAATTATTAGTGGTTATTTAGATGAGTATCAAAATATATGTAATGCGGCAATATGATATTTTTCAAATTTATATCACTCTTTGAGCACGTTTTAAAAATTCTGATTTTTCTGAATTTGTATTTTATCATATTTGGACCTATAATTTACAATAGTTTTTTATATATAAATTATAAATGACTCAAAGATTATGTCTACAATTTATAAGATTAGCATTCTATGCTGGAATACATTTCCGGTAAAATCAGATTTTTAAAAAAACATGCTCAAAAAATTATTTAAAGTACACAAAATCATCCAATTAAGATAGAAGTAACGTATAGTATATATTAATAATAGAATTTTTAATAACCATAAAACAGATTATTTATTATAAAGTAAAAATTAAAATATTCCTTCTTTCGTTGCTTAATTAACAATGTCAATTTACATTAAATATAATTATATTTAATCTTCAACAATATTTGCGAAAGGTAACGCTAGAGCGATCGTAATTAGCACGGGAGACGCTACTGTGATGGGCAGGATTGCCAACCTAGCTTCCATTATTGTCGTAGAAGAAACTCCCATACACAAGGAGATCAAACGTTTTGTTTTTATTATAGCATCAATCGCCGTTTTTTTTGGCGTCTTGTTCTTCATAATTTCCATAGTCATAAATTATACCTGGTTAAACGCAATAATATTCTTCATAGGCATTATAGTCGCAAACGTGCCTGAGGGATTATTACCTACTATCACGGTTAATTTCATAATAATATAAAATTCTTTTAAGGCTTAGAATATATCATGATAGCATACATTTATTACGATTTATATAAATGCTTATTTTTACGGGAAAGTGATTTAGATTGATTCGATTAGGCTTGAAGGGTGGGTTTATAATTATTTATATATTTCATGATAAATTAAATTAATTAGGTATGCTTAACATTAACAGCCCAACGTATGGCTTCAAAAAATTGCCTAGTCAAAAATTTAGAAGCCGTAGAAACGTTAGGATCTACATCCACTATATGTTCAGACAAAACAGGAACCTTAACTCAAAATAGGATGACTGTTTCGCACGTTTGGCTTGATCGTCAGGTCCACAAAGTCGAATTCGGAACCGAAAATGAAAGTTCGCACTAAAATAAATAATTTTTAGCTATTTAATACGAAATATTTTGTGTTTATTTAGCAAATACATATGAGCATAGCGAAACGTGGAATGCGTTAGCTAGAATAGCAACACTTTGTAATCATGCCATTTTCACACCCACTCAAGACAAAATCCACATTATGCAAAGGTTTATAACGAAAATGTTTTTTAGCAATTTTTTTAAGTCATATATAAAAAAATTTTTTATAATATATTTTATCTGTAAGGGATAAAGGCTAAATTTTTATTTATTTTAAAATATGTGGAATTGCGTTTCCACTAAAGAATTTACCCGTCTCTCTTAAAAAAATTTCCTAATTTTATTTTATGATAATATTTAAAAGCTCTACATAAAATATAGTAAAAATCAGCCTGTTATAGAAAAACGAAATAGAAAATATAAAAACCATTCCTATTTTTTTATAGTAGGAAACTAGACTATTCACATATCAAAGGCCTTCATGGACCTGGATTTTTTGATCAGGCCCGGCCCAGGTCCGCAGTAAATAAAAATTTACAATCCCATTATAAGTTTCAAAATTTTACTCAATCCCATACCCAAAAATTAAAATTAATGTATTCAATGAAAAGAAATAATATTTTAGTGTATTTAGGCAATCATTTTTCTTATGAGCCGAATGCTGTCCCGATTCACGAAAATCTCTGATATATATAAAATGGAAGATAAGCCGAGTACTGGTCTAGACATTATAAAGTTTCAAAATAATCATAATCATATTAAAGGGCTATACTTAGTATCTATAAATAAATTAATGGCCCCTTAGTAATTTTTCGACATATTTTAAAATCAATCCAATGCATTTTCTTAATTTTTAATGCGGGGTTGAGAGCTAAAATCTCCTTTCTTTCATTGTTCCGCTATTATTAAATATCTTAATGGATCGGATTTTTAAAAGGAATATCAATCATTAAAAATTATTGTTATTATATAATCTATTTTTAATAGCAGTTTTCCATATTCACTAAAACTTTTTTTTGTAAGACCTTAAAAAGTTTTGATTATTGAATTTTTCCTCACCAAGATTCACATGGGTAAAATGACTTTTCAATTTTTTTAATTTTAGAGAGTGCATAGGTGACGCGTCTGAATCTGCCCTATTAAAATGCATAGAAACGAAAGTAGGGAATACAGAAAAAACTAGAGAACTCAACGTAATGGTTGCTGAGATTCCTTTTAATTCTACCAACAAATATCAAGTAATTTTTGGCCATTTATTTACTGTTATGCTATTATTTTTATTTAAAATTGAAACATGTAAGGTTTCCATTCACGAGATACCCGATCGATCGAAATATTTATTGGTAATGAAGGGAGCACCAGAACGAATTTTGGATCTATGTAAGACGGCTCTAATATACGACGAGGAAAAGAAGGAAGAAAGGGAAATTGAAATTGACGAAGATTTTAAACACGATTTTAATAAGACTTACGTTTACCTGGGGGGAATGGGCGAAAGAGTTTTAGGTTTTTGCGATTTTTGGATGCCAATCGACCAATACCCATTTGGCAAATTTCATTTTGATACCGAAAATGTCAATTTCCCACTAAGCAATTTTAGATTTGTTGGAATGATGTCAATGATTGATCCTCCTCGACCTGGTGTACCAGACGCAGTCTCTAAGTGCAGAAGTGCTGGAATCAAAGTCAGAATATATATATTTTTAAAACAGAATTCTTTATTTTTTAATTTTTCTATAGATAATTATGGTAACAGGGGATCATCCTCTCACAGCAAAAGCTATCGCTAAACAAGTTGGAATCATATCGGAAACGAACACCATCATTGAAGGGATTATAGATCATCACAAAGAATTTTCTCCCGAGTTTATAATTTGAAATTATTATTATTATTATCAAGTTAAATAAGGGTTTCAAATTAAAGGAGGGGGACTCTTCTGATGAGTTCTTTGATATCCTAACTATATATTATAAAGAATTATGCTTATTTTAGGCAATTCTGAACCATTATATTATTTTTCTTTGTACCTGAACCGATATTCGTTAGGTTAGGGTTCATATCTCTGCTTCGTTTCCTTAGCTTAAATTTAATTAGTAAAATTGTCAATTTTATATCCACTGGTTTTTACTTTATGCTAAAATACTGTCATATCCCTCTGCTTAAATTTAATTTGTAAAATTGTCAATATTATATCTATACTGGCTTTTACTTTTACGCTGAAATACTGCCATATTAGAGACATCTATCGCAAATGTTTATTTTTGAAAATTAGGATAAATAATTTACAAAATTTTATTTCTCCGATTTATAAATTACAAGCTATGCTGCTTAATATTTATAAAACTTATATTGGGTTTGCCTTAATTCTGGAAAACTTTATGGATATTTTTTTATCCATTATTTAGTTAAAATTACACATGTCTGTTTCCTAGTTTTTATTTTTTAACGCAAAAATGAAATAATGATTATTTACAGGCAATTTCAGCCTTTTTAATCATCCAATTACTAAATTGGATAATAAATAATAATATTTATATATAATTCATCAACTTAATAAAATGGGACTTACCATGAGTCTTACAATTAATATAATCAAAAAATCAAATCCATGCAATTATTTCAAGCCCAAAACTATTGGGCATGAAAAAAAAATACCAAACCACAACAATACTAACTTTTTTGAGTGTTTTGTGGTTAATTATATACTTATTCTATAATAAATTTATAAACGAATCTTAATATTAAAATTCATTCATTCAATTACCACGCCAGAAATAAATTATTTATAAATCTTCATTTAAAAAAATCTGCTAAACGGCGATTAATAGACTTATCTCTATCCAAATAAAGAAAATATTGGCATCAATTGTGCAATCACCTTTTGCTGCGCACTCAAAATGTGTCTATCGTTAAATTTAGAATTTAATTAATAATTTGAATTAATTTTAAAAGAAGAAGAAAAATATTTTTAATATTAATTAATTTTACACAAAGTAATTCAATCAAATTTTCATAAAAATGCGACTTTTACAAAAGTTTTATTATAGTTTCAAAATAGTTGCTACAAATCTTAAAAATAGCTAACAAATTTTTTTTCATCATTAAAGAATAATAATTTATTAAATTTTGAAGATTGAAGATACCCTTATTTAAAAAATATATGTTATGTAAAAATTTATTTACTCTCTATTATACCCACACTGAATGTTAGACTATTTTTCCGTGAAATTTGGATTAAACTTAATTTATATTCCTTTTTATATGGATTTTTTTTATATAATAAAAAATATAAAATGTTTAATTGTAAAATTTGCCTGAAATTCACAGGATCATTGTATATTCTGGAAAACATTTTCGGTCACATCAGACTTTTCATGTTTAAAAATCGCTCTCAACAAATCATATAAAATCGAGAGATTATGGATTCCATATCACAATATGACACACATAAAGAATTATTATTTTACATATAAAACAATAGTAAAAATATAACCTTGACTTTTTTTTTATCAAAAACATAGTTTTATCTTATAAAATTCATAATATTTATTTCACGAAGGTTCAAGAAAATCATTCAAACCCCTATAAATCTCTCACCCGGCCAGGAAAACAATGAAAGTATAGTAGTGCATGGCCAAGAGTTAAAGGTTCTTAATAGCCACGATATAGATACGATACTAAAAAAATTTAGAGAAATAGTGTTTGCGAGAATATCACCACAACAAAAATTGAGTATTGTCGAAGGATGTCAAAGACTGGGAGAGATTGTAGCAGTGACCGGAGATGGAGTCAATGATTCACCCGCCCTTAAAATGGCGAATATAGGTATTTTTTTAAAAAATCTTTATAAATGTCTGCTTGTTTATATAATTTTTAAAAAATCTTTCGATGATCACAATATAAATTGTGTACAATTGTTCAAAATAAAATAGGAATCGCAATGGGTATAGCCGGCAGTGATGTGAGTAAACAGGCATCAGATATGATATTATTGGACGATAACTTTGCTTCCATAGTTACTGGAATTGAAGAAGGTATAACTAATTGTTGCTTAAATGCATTATAATAGAGTTAAATTATATTGTATGTATTACTATTTAGATCTTAAGACGTCCATTTATTTTTTTACTTAAAAAAAATTCCCATTTACGTTTGTTTTGCATTGAGAAGCCTTGTCGATTTGTTCTTAAAAGGTCAGAAATCAATATAATGCTCATATTTTTTTACTTTTCAACCGGTCTGTCATCCAACTATTTGTTCTATTTTCGCTACTTTTATGAACCATATCTCTGCACCATAGGTCCCCCGTATTTAAAATGAGTCCTATACTTAAAAACAATATTTAAAATTAAATATAACATTTTTTAAAACTCTTTTTAGGAAGGCTCATATTTGATAATTTGAAAAAGTCGATAGCTTACACATTAACTCATAATATACCCGAACTGACGCCCTTTCTAGTTTACGTAACATTTAGCATACCATTGCCCTTGGCGACGATCACTATTTTGTGCATAGACTTGGGCACGGATATTGTAAAAACATGATTTTTTTAATCATATTTTATGAATTCTATAAAAGTAACCTCGAAAAAAGTAGAAGCATTAATAAAGAAGACCGCATGATTGTGCTCATGAGTGTTTTTTATTGTTAATTATACAAACGATCGCTTAAATTATGGCTTTATAAGTTACTAACAAATGTGCATAATTAGTAAATATCAATATTTCATTCAATCTCGTTAATTTTAATATATATGTATATATGTGTCGTAGAAGATTAACAACAAGATTATGCTTGATGTGTAAATATTTTACAAAAAAAGGTTCCATCAATTTCATACGCATACGAATATCCCGAAAATGACATAATGAAAAGAATGCCCCGCGATCCAAAAAATGATAAATTAGTAAATTCAAGGTTAACAATTTAAAATCATACAATAATAAAACATTTTCTCCTTGCTAATTCAATATTATGTTTTTATTAAATAATTAACATTAACAATGCATCTGTCTAATTAATCTGAACGATTATTCTAAACTCCAGAAATGTTTTAGTGGCGTCACTAGTCTTTTATAATCTCGGGGGGCTTAATTTCTTTTTTTAAATTCTCTCTTTTTTTTAGCTAATGTCATAATTATTAAATAGCATAGCATAATTAATTATCTTTTTAATGCTTAAATTAGATAGAAATGTTTGTAATATTTATATTTATTTTAGGCTAATAGGTGGTTGTTATGGGCAGATTGGCATAATTCACTCGTTAGCTGGATTTTTTACATTTTTTGTTGTAATGGCCGAGAATGGATTTTTACCAAATCGACTCCTAAACATTAGAGCACAGTGGGACTCAGAGTCTGTTAATGACTTAAAAGACTCCTTTGGACAAGAATGGGTAATTTTAAATATTTTATTATCAAAAATTATTAATCTTGAAATAATTATACAACATTTGTAGACATATGAAAATCGAAAAATATTAGAAAAAGCTGGTTATTCTGCATTCTTTGTGTCTGTTGTTATCGCACAATGGGCGAACTTGATCATCAGAAAAACTAGAAGGAAATCTATATTTCAGCACGGAATGAGGTTGTAATATTTAAATAAACATCCTATTACTAATATTAGTTAGCAGAGTTTTAAAAAATAATTGTCATTGCATCTTTGAAAGCATTTTTTATGTATGAAAATTTACAATATATTTACTAATAAATTTTTTTTACAAAAAAGATATTTGACATTTTTATGTAAAATTGATAAAAAAAATGAAGATTATTAAACTCTGTTAGTTGGACTAATTAGTAAGAAATGATAATCATAAATTTTAAAATAAAATATATCAACAATAGAAATTGGGTGCTGAATCTTTCTTTGCTCTTTGAAACCGGGTTAACCTGTTTGCTCTTTTACACCCCTGGATTAAATTCTGCCTTAGGATTTTATCCTATCAAGTAAATAATATTAAACAAATTTGATCTATTGTTTTCTAATATTTAAACTCTTTTTTTAAAATTTATTTCATCGTCACAGGGCTCTTTGGTGGTTGCCGGCGATGCCTTTTAGTGTCTTAATTTTTGTGTACGATGAAACTAGACGATATTTTATGAGGAAATATCCTGGAGGTTGGATTGAACGCGAGACCTACTTTTAAATGAGCCTTCCGCCATTCTCATAAAATAAACTAAGATTCGTGTTTTTGTATTTTTTTAGAGGAACATAAATCGATATAACATTATACCATTTCATTATTAGGATTAATTTTTTTTAAAGAAAGAACATTTAATTCAATACAATTAAAGGTATCCAATTTTTTTTTAATATGCAATTTTTTATACAAATTATTATAAAATATATACCTCTTTAAATTTATGGATATTGTTTAATTAAATTATTTCAACAATTTTTTTTTGCCTAATCCTCTAGGTGTTGGTATATGATATGAATACTTAAAAATCATATATTTTTCAAGAATATTCAGTGAAAATTTTGTGCTCAAATTAATATCTATACTGTATCAATGATTAATTCGTTTAGAAAAAAAATAAATGTTGGCTAATTTAATCGTAATTATACCAACCTCCAAATTCTTGATCTTGAAAAATTAGCGATAAAAATTTATTATTTTTAAATTTTTTTAATTATTATTTTATATACGTTTAATGTAATATAAATTTTTTTTATATCATTTACGAGTATTAAGAAATCAGGAAAAAATCAAATAATTTATATTTATACTATTATTGTATGATTGATTAATTAATATTATTACAAACAAAATAAAAAGAAATGTCATAATAAAAATTTTAATTTTATACTGCGTTACAATTTAAATTTATGTAAGGCTCGAAGATTATGCTCCAAATCAAGAAAATTGTCGTCCCGTCAGATTTCACAGAATTAATAAAAATGACAGACACTTGCTGGATTTGAATCTTATCGGATACGCACTGAACCCACTAGTGTGCAGATACTACTCGAAAACATAAAAAAATTTTGTATATAGGATAAAAAACACTGTCTATTTTTATAAAAACCAATAACGTTCAACTCTACAACATTACCCAACAAATGTATAACATATAAGTTAAGCAAATATATAGCAATCAAGGTATTGTCATATTGCTAATTTTTTAAATATTTTTTTATTCCTATAATCTTCCATCCGTCCGTCAAGAAAAATGGGAGCTCACTACTCATTCCCCCTTTTCATACAGAAGCAGTAAGAGTACAGCATAAAATTATAATTATACTATATTGCAAATAATTGCTATTATATATATATTGTCGGCTGGGTATCTTAGCGTTCATCTCCACTTTTTCTCAAAATTCTATTTAATTCTTCAGTTATATATTCTTATATATCCACATTAAGGTATAATTGAGAATAATCTTTTATTTGCTTGTTATTGTGATTTCCTATTTAAGATACAAGAAATCGCTCTCATGAACAATTATAAAAAATGGTTATAGAACATTATAATAATCAACCGACTATATATAAGGTAAAATGGTTAAATATTTTATCATTTTATGGTAAATATAAAGTGTTGGACTCATACTTACGTGCTAAAAGAATTTTAAAAAATAGCATAGGACTTAGTTTCGAAAATGGCAGAATTCTTAATTGATACATGTTATAAATTATAGGAAGATTTTAAAAATCGCAAACTCTTAAAACTGCACATAGCTAATCTTTATCGATCCAGAAAAATTTTGCTCATAATATCATGACGTTTTACTAGGTGAGCACTTATAATTGTGGAGGTTATAAATTTTTTAAATTTCATAAGGACAGTGCTCCAGCTCACCGAGCTAGAAAAACTATGTTTCTGCTTCATGATAAACTCTAGATTTTATTTCACCCATTCTTTGGTCCCGCAAGAGTCCTAATTTCAATCCGGTCTACTACAATATATGGAACGTTCTCAAGAGCGTGTTTATTAAACCCGCATAACCAACATTGATAATTCCAACAGCGACTTGTAGAGGAATTGCTGACCATGTAATGAATGGCGAGATGACCTACGAGCATGTATTCGAGCTAATGGTGAGCATTTTGAACATTAGCTATGAGGAACAATATTTGTTCAATGTTGATGTTTTCATGTTTTAGTGAAAAGTACCCCCTCCCATCCCCTCGAAAAAATGATAATTATTTTATGACATCCATAAATTTCAAAAATAATTTTTATTGCATCAATTTTGAATATATAATATAAATAAAATGCAAAAAATATATACTTTATAAATATATATTTGTTCACATATTTAAATGTTGATGTTTTCATGTTTTAGTGAAAAGTACCCCCCCCCCCTCCCCTCGAAAAAATGATAATTATTTTATGAAACCCATAAATTTCAAAAATAATTTTTATTGCATCAATTTTTAATATATAATATAAATAAAATGCAAAAAATATATACTTTATAAATATATATTTGTTCAAATATTTAAATGTTGACATTTTCATGTTTTAGTGAAAAGTACCCCCCCCCCTCCCCCTCGAAAAAATGTTAATTATTTTATGACACCCATAAATTTCAAAAATAATTTTTATTGCATCAATTTTTAATATATAATATAAATAAAATGCAAAAATATATACTTTATAAATATATATTTCTTCAAATATTTAAATGTTGATGTTTTCATGTTTTAGTGAAAAGTACACCCCCCCCCCCCCCTCGAAAAAATGATAATTATTTTATGATACCCATAAATTTCAAAAATAATTTTTATTGCATCAATTTTTAATATATAATATAAATAAAATTCAAAAAATATATACTTTATAAATATTATTTTTAAATTATTAATTTTAGATAAATTAGGGGAAGAGAAATCTAAAAAATTTATAATATCATCAATATTTAATTGTTTAAATTAATTTTTGTCCATTGATAATATAGTTAAATTATTGATAAATGAATCCTTCATGGTTCTACGAAGTCTTGTTTTAATTAATTTAATTTATTCATGACTCTTTAGGCAGTACATGAGGTTGTAGGAATGGTTAATAAATATTTATATAAAATTATTAAATTAGGGAAAGCAGAAAAATTTAAAAGTAGACGATAAGGTAAAATAAATGAATAGTTTTTCCAATCTGAATCGTAAGTCTCTGAATTATCATCATCATCAGAAGAAACTAAATAATGTATTGATAAAAATATTTTAATTAAATTAATTTACAATTCTCAGGATTTGACAAATCTTTAGATTCTTGAACCTCTAGGTAATGAGTAATAATTACATTCCCCATGTTAGCCATCTTTAAAATTTTTCTAAACTTCAACATTTCCTCGAAAATTTGACTTGAATATAAATTGTAAATTCACAGATATCCTCGATATATTCTTTAATAATTGATTATTCTGCCATTTCCTTTGGCGTAAAAAATGATGTTTGATGTAAAAATTTCATCGAATCATCATTAAATCTTTCGTTAAACTGCATATGTTGTATTCATTAAAATTTAATAAAGCGAAATTAATATTTATTACCAGTAAAGAGATAATGGGAATTTTTTGTTCTACTTTATCAAATCTCTGCTCTGTGTCTGCCTATAAAAAAATATAGCAGAGTCAAAAACAAGAGTAATTAAATGACCTCAGGTTCACTAATTTCATGATCATTATCAGAATCATCATAAACTATATTTTCTTCTAACACATTTTCTTTATTATTAGGACACTTTTAAAAGATAATTATATTAATTAAAAATATTTATTATATCAACAGCATTGAATTCCCAATTTTTACTTAATTTTTCTTAAATTGCGTTTTAATACCCTTTATAATAAGATAAGTATAAATAATTAAATATATAATAAAAAAATTATTTTGCTATTTGTCCAATTCTGAGTAACATTCTTAAAAGCTACTATTTCAAACTTTTTCTTTATATCGTTAAAATATGCCCACCATGTCTTTTTCTAATGTGATCTATCCATTTATCATCTCTTATATTATGCGATTTGCAATTTTTAATTAGGCATTTGTATTTTCTTTTGTTAATATTTTTAGGCCTATTTTAAAATTGAAAAATAATTTATGACAAGAAATCTCGGATAACAACCTAATTTACTAAACATGGACCAAAATTTCCGTCAAGTCAATATATATTAAATCAAATTATAAGAGGGGGGGGGGTCTTATCATTACATTTATAAACCAGAAATCACTTGATCATGTTGGATGTAACAAAACAGTAAAAGAATTAAATAATAAAGATAATTTAAAAAAAAATTTCTTTAAAAAAAAGGAACCCCCACTAAAATTTACAAGCAGTTGCTACGGACCTCCCTTCCCCCCCCGTTGTAGGGGCTACTGAATCCCCCCTACCTAGTTCCAGCACTTCCTTCTTTCTTTGCCAATCTATTAGATTAGCATAGATAAATCTAGCTTACATAGATCTCCTTTGAGAATTTTGTCTGATATAATATCCATTATAAGGGTCATCTGAATCTTGGTATATTCCACCCTCCCACGACATTTATGAATATGTGGGCCTCAATAGTCATTTTTATAAATATTTAAGGTAGTCAAGCAAGACTAATAGAATAAAGAAAATCCTGCATAAGTCATAATATTTGTTCCTTTTAGATATCTCCGCCTGATAAATGACTATTTATCAAAATATCATTAATTTATTTAAAATTAATTTTTAATATTAACTAAGCATATTTTCCTTCAATCAATGTTCTCAACGTAACAGAATTATAATTCTAAATGTCAAACATATGATAATGAAATTATCCATTTTTGGTTAAAAACTAAAAATTAAAATAAATGTCTTGATTCTGAAAGTTTTTATATTTCATAAATAATCGTAGCATCTACTAACTAAATGGGAGGCTTGAAATGTATAGGTGTAATATCTCGTGAGAATCATCCACTTTTTATTAAATCAATAGGAAACTTTAATGATAAAAACAAACATAGCCAAGAAGAAGAGCTTAAATATCATTTTATGATATATACATCCCTTGATTTAATAGAGGAAAAAATTGGTGCTTCATTATTTAGTCCTCAAGGATCACACTCCACTACACAATATTCAAACTTGTCTCAACATGTTAGAACCTATCCATATATAAATTCAGAAACTTTAGAAAAGGTTAATGAGATAAAAAGTGATGATGATATGATTCATAAAAATATTGAGAAATCATTACCCAATCAAACATCTCTAGCTTTATATAATTCTTTTATTACACCCTCAAATTATCAAGCAAGCAATCCACAATCTGTCACTCAACATAATGCTCCTTTGAATATTGACAATCAATCATCTCTAGGATTTAATATAGGTGGTCAATTTTTGGGGCCTTTATATAGCCTAGAAGATTACAAAGTATATGGATTTGTAACCAACACTCAAGTCAAGTTTGTGATTGTTGTTGATTCTGAATTCCAGCCTACTCAAAATGATTTTGCTTTTTTTAAGATTGGAATTGAAGATGATAAGCTGTCAAAAAAGGGTAAAGACAAATTTAAGTTTGCACTTGACTCATCCCCACCCAAAAAATCGGCTGATATTATTAAAAGTTACTTACAAGTAATTGGTAACGATACCAATAGTTTTGATTCTGACCTCAGAAAAGACCTAAAATTTAAAAATCAACCTTTTGTATTGGATAGACACAAGGATGTCCTCCTTACACTTACAACTGAAATTCCACTTACTGATAAAAAAGATTGCTTTTTTAACTTATTGGTTCCAACTGTTCCAAGCTTCTATCAAACAGCTGGTGGTGGATTAACAAACAGTTTATCAACACCAGGGAATTTCTTCCAGAATTTTAGTTCTGGGAATTTTCCTCTATCGCCAGGCTCAACTGATAAAGACAAGAGTATTTTAGATCCTAATATCACCTCAAGTACAAATATGTTGGAATTTATCAAATGCATTTTTAGATTGCTGCAGGATGAATATGTAAAAACATGTACTAATCCCTTTTACAGCCCTAGTAGTTCATTTGAAAGTTCTAATGGAACGATGGCAAACAATAGTTTTGTTAGAATGGCTGACAAAATTCTATCACGGTTTGGGATCAATTGAAAATATTTTATACCATTTATATTGTTTGTTTATTAATTTGATATAAAAACATTATTGTTCATTAATTTGACTATTTATATTTAAAATATTGAAACAGATTTAAATTAAAAAATAGTTATGAATTATATTTATTTCCAACTTTATTAATGGCACATCTATAAAGAATTACTAACTAGTTCCTCTCCTAGAGAAGGGAAACATTTATGTTTGAGATTGGAGGAGGATGTTTTGACTCTGATGTACCATCTAAGATATAATATAATAGAAATAAGTTGGTTAAATTTTTTGTAAATGTAATATTAATTTGTATTTTTAAGATTTAGTAGATTTAGGCGTGAATAAAATACGAATCCCTGCTATTCAAGATGATTCAGAAAATATATTTATATTAATTATTAAAATTTTAAAATATTAATTGCTACATGTGAACCCTGGCTATTTTACAAAAATAAATAGAATCGTTTAGCTCTTCAAGATGTTTCAAAAAATATTAAGTTAATATTCGTTTAAAAAAAATTTGATAAATTTTTAAATATCGAGAAAAAAAAACAATTTTTCATGACTCTCCATGTAGTAGCAAAAATTAAAGGAAGAAAGTTATAGGTGAAAATAAAAATTATGGCCAACTACTAAAGGTTGGTGCTTCAATTAGTTGTAGCCGGAATTAAGAACAAAACGTTATTTGCGAAAAAAACAAAAAGTGGCATCGCACCAAAACTAAGACTAAATATTCGGGGTTTTCTATGTCATGTTTAATAGAACCGCAATTGTTTGATTAATCGCCTTATGAAAAAAGAGTGATCAGCAAAACAAAAATTACATATTTTCTTTTCCATCTTAGATTATCAATTGTGTCTAATAGACATCTGCCTTATTTAATTACTATAAAACTTGACGCCTAAATTATTAATGTGCTCAAAATATATCAAAGAATAACTAACATGGTTATAAAATATTACTCCAACTACTGCCCAAATGGGTCCATTCAGTCCTATTCTTAAATTTGTATTCGAGATATTTTTAATCATTTTTGTTGGTTTCTTTGTAATAAACGCCTTATTTTCGAGCGGTGTTAAAAATCAAGCCAATAAATAAGGGCGAATTTATAGTAAACGGGATAAGATCAAGCGGTGGGTTATTTAAAGCAGCGTTATTTAAAAAAATCAAACCAATAAATAGGTATATGATGGTAAAAATGATAAAATTTAAAAAATATATATTACGATGCAATTATAAAAATAATAGCGAAATTATAATTATAAGTTTTTACTGACAATTTTTTAAAAAGCAGAAGATTATTTCTATTAAATATTCGTTATCAGAAGATATATTTTATTAAATATTATCGTTATGAGGCATTAGTTTTGATAGCGTTAAATAATGCTATGCTTGAACATAATTCGCTTACTATAAATTCAGCATAAGTATAATTTCTAAATATAGATTTGAAAAGCATATTTTGAGACATATCTTTTAAAAATGATTAAAAGAATCATCTATGCCTTCGATAGCGTTAAATAATGCATTGTTTGAACATAACACGTTTACTACATTGCTTGGACATAACGCGTTTAATATAAATGAGCACTTAGTTAATTTTATTTTATCCTCAAAAATTAGTCAAATAAAGATCTATCCTTACTTTTTAGTTGGCTTAGATCTCATGAATATAATTATAATACGGGTAATATTTAGGATAAGATTAATATGGTAGAGTATAAGATTTTTTAGAATTTTATAAAAAAAATTGATCTATTATTATAAAAATAAAATAATTAGTTTATTCGCACACGTGTGAGAAATTTTGCGTTTAATAATTTTTTTGAAATGACAGGTTATAAGATTTTTTAAAAAATAAAAATTAGCATTAAAGTTTAACCAAATAAAATAACTGATTCACCTAAATGTGGGAAATCTTATGATTTCCTGATTTTTCTGTAATGATAGGAAAAAATATATATTAAATTCCAATAAACCATTATTTTCTCATAAATTAAAGAAATTTAAGAATTATAAAAGTAAATTAGTGTAAGAAAGTGTTTTTTAAGATATTATTCAAGATGCTAAATTTAATAAGATCATATAAAATAATTAAATCGAAAAAAATTGAGGTCATCATATTTTTAAATAAGAATCTGTTAAGCCTTCCACCATATAGCTTCCTCTGAAAATATAAAAATTAAAGTAGATTTATTCTACAATTAAAACAAAACAGAAAGGGGAGTGTTCTAGTTCAAAATTTGAATTTGTCCTAAACAGAAATAAGTTTTTAAATTTCCACCCCCTTGAGCTATTTTGTAAAAACATTGTGATTATCCTAAAAATAAATGGAAATTGAATCCCTTCTCATCTTAAAATAAAGACTGTTACAAAAGATTTATAACTTTAGCACTTTTTAAAATTCCATAAATGTCTAATTCTTGCATGGATTTTGAAGAGAACTTTATATTCGCCAGAGATATAACATCGAAAAGTAAATTTTAAAAGAAATTGGATTCTTTTTGTAGTCCTCTTCTCTTTTTATTGTAATACAATTAAAATAGATCGTTAATTACTATACAATATGATCCACACTACAACTATCATAATAGGAATGAATAATTTGAGGATAAAAAGAATCAGCACTATATTTAAATATTTCTTTGACTTTACAAAAGTAGGATAGATCTCATTTTCTATTACTGGCACAAATATCTAATAAATGACTGAGTTCGGTAGATATACATAATTTATATAATATTTATATTATAAAATTCACTTTAAATGACCAAGAAACAAAATCGGGTGTCCTTAAAATAGTCTCATTTTGGCGGCCTAGTGCCGTTGCTCCTGGCTACTGTAGGCAAGGGCAAGCTTATTTTAACGGTCATCGAATCCAAAAATTAAGCCGTTAAAGTAATTAGAATGTAGAGATGATTAGTTATGAAAATTTTATTTTTTATTCAGGTTGATAATTAATATTTTGGATTGTATTGTTATTTTGTAAAATAAATCTACTTATTTCTTTTCAGCTATGAGGTGATTCTCATATTTCATCTAATTTTAGAAACATATTTGATCATAATTATCATTATAATTTTTTATATTTTTATGTGGTATTTTTCAATCAAAATCATATATTTCAATTTTGTTGTTCAAATAACCAAAATATTCATTTATGATGTTGAAAAAAATTTCATAACTGCCTCTCCCATATTTTTGGCTGCCTCCCCCAAATGAGTAAAGCTAGAATCGGGTCTGCCTTTTAAACCAATATAAAATTTTAAATAAACGTTTATAATTTTGACCAATTTCGTCCTTTGATTTTGCATTTTTTCGGAATTAAAATAGGACTACAAAAATAAATATTAAATTAATTAAATAATAAGCCCCAATTTTTGTAAACAAAGAAATAGATTCAACTCAAAAATGGATACCTATTTAATTGACAACCTTAACGTATTCTATATTTAGGTTTAGTTTTTCATTTATATAAATATTCATATTTTTCATCATTTTACGTATTCTATATTTAGGTTTAGTTTTTCATTTATATAATATATTCATATTTTTCATCATTTTATTTGCTTAAGAAGTAATGTAGGAAATTTAAATAATAAAATGACTTAATGACTTAATGCCATAATAAATTAATGTTTATTTAAAATAAACCAAATAATTTAGTAAAAGCTATTTGAATAAAATATTAATGTATTTGTTTAAAAGAGTGCAATGATATTTGGTGGTTAATTTTTTAGGAAATAGGGCACTCACTACGGGCCGTAGCTACGGGGGGGGGGGTCGAGTTTGGACCCCCAGAGCAAATTTTTTTTCAGATTATACGTTCAAAATACTCAAAAGCGACTTTATATCAAATAAATATATTTTTCTGGTTTTGATGTTTGTGGAAGGATATTATATTACTATTGAAATTATTCTGGATAGTATTATTATAAACTCTTACAACACTAATTAAAATGATCAATAATTCTAAGAATTTTATATTATAAGAAAAACAAATATCATTTTTAAGATAAACCTGGCCGAAGCCGGGGCAAATGGCCGAAGTCCCGTTAAAGGGGAGTCTGGGGAGCCAAGCCCCAGGCTTTTACATGTATGGGCCCTCTAACGAAAATTCTAGCTGCGCCACGGGCACTCATCCATTTTTCAGAATTGGTGCTAATTTTGATAAAGCAATTGTTTTGACATCCAATGCACATAGTTAAATACGCTTCATTTTGACCTATTATCAACGCGTATTCATATTGGAAACATTTAAGCCGAACAAAAGATAACAGTAATCTTTAGGATAGTAAGAAAGTTTAGATCTAAAAGAATTTCCAGTAAGTAGTTTATAAGAGGTAGTTTTAAGTACTCAATTAGGTTATAATCTTACTCAGATTAGATAATATATTTGATTAAAAATATTTTTGTTTTTATAAATTGTAATTGCATCTATCCTTGCACAAACATTTGTTTTTTTTGTTTTTTTGCTATTGTTTCTCATTTTATAAAAATATTTTGGTAATATTATATTTTAATATGTTGAGAACAAATAGTCAAAATAATCTTAACAATAGTAAAGACCAAATAGCTAATTTCAATATTAATCAACCAAGCAATAAATCAATTTTGTCATCCTATGTTCTAAATAATTTAATCAACAAAATTCAATCTGTATTTGTGGATACAAGTTCATGGAAATCAAGTCGTTGTAATATAACATTAGACATAAAAACATTTTCTAAAACTTGGAAAATTATGGACAAAGTCGTCAGATTATGCCAGCACCCTATCATAAATCTTAATCTAAGCCCTCCTTATATTTTGGATATATTGCCTGAAATGTATAATTTTATAAGATCTATTATTTTGCCTGAATATTATAACATAGAAACATTAAATGATAATATATTTCTATGCATTTTTATTGAAAATATTATTAAAAAGTGCAAACAAACTATTAAACTTTTCAAAATTGCAAAAAATAATATGTATATTGAAACATCTACATATCGCAGGAGCTTAACCAAGATTACTTTAATATTCTCTCATATGATGATTGAACTAAAAGCAATTTTTCCAAAAGGACATTATATAGGAAATAAATTTAGAATCACAAAATCTGATGCAGCAGATTTTTGGAAAAAGTCATTTGGAAACAAGTATAATATTTTTTTTATATACATATAGGAATCCTAATTTATTTATAACTTTATAGTCCATTTTATAATTAAAATTTATTTCATCAGTTTTTGAAAATTAATAACCTTAAATCATTATAATAGTTGATTGCATTGCATTTGCAACCTTATAGCTAACATTTTTTAAAATAGGCTAATTTTATTTATATAAATATCTTTATATACAGCTTTTTTTATGTATCATCACCTTAAAGTACACATTTCAATAAACAAACCCTAATGAAGTTAAATTCCATAATAATTAGGGTTGTTAAAAAGCCTGATTTGGGTCAATTTTCAAAAACAACCTAGTATGATTTTAGCCAAAAAATTTTTATGTAAGTCTCAAGATTTGGCAAATAGAGATCCAAACTTTTCTGCTATCTATGAGCATAATCTCAAATAATATTATTTTGTCTCTTAATTGGGTCAGTTTTAAATATAGGCCAAACTTGGGCTTTTTAACAACCCTGATAATAATAATAAATTCAAATAGTTTGTTATTTATTTTCAGAAAAGTTTTAAAAATATCACCTAAAAAAGTGTGATCAAATTTTTTAAAATGATATTATATATTAAAGATTCCTACTAAAGTAAATAAATTAATTATAAGCAATGGTGCATCAATATAGTTTGACACTTTCACCTTTCACCAATACTTATACCCAAAAATGTTATTATCCCTTTTAACTTTTTTATTAATAAACAAGAAATTTAATATTATTTTTTGATATTGGCCTATTGTATTGTCCAAAAAAGTATAAATTTATATAACAAAAGGATACATTTAAATAAAGAAAAATTTTAAAAAAGGTGAGTTAAATCAAATTCATTTCATCTCTCTCAGATTATAAAATTTTATTAAAATTTTTTAAACAAATTTAAACTAATCTTTAAGCTCTATCTAGTGTTGTTAAACGGCTAACTCAATATTTTAGCCAGAAAAATATTACCTAAGCCTCGATATTTCGATAATATATGCCCAGACATTTGTTCCTTCTGTGAGCAAAATCTTCAGGCTTGTGTAATATTTTTCTGGATGAAATATTGAGTTAGCCGTTTTAAAAATCGCCTCAAAACGAGCCATTTAACAACACCATCTTATACTCTATTTTCTATAGTTATATTAGCAAATTATATTCATTATGATTAAAATATTTAAAATGCTTTGTAATAATTATATCAATTTTAGAAGTAAAAAATTAGATTTTCTTAATTCATATTCTATTTTAATTTAAAAAGTTTATATTTAACTAATTATATTCACAGTTCATTATTTAAATATTTTTGCCAAAATTTTTTTTTTATAATTTTAAAAAATGGATGTAATTTATTACAAATAACCTTTTTAAATAATTTCCCTGTCCTACCAAAATTTAAGATTTGTTAGTCGAGTAAATTAAATATATGAACCATTTCCTTGGTTGCATCTGCTGAATAACACTGCCAATACTACTATTTTTTGATTTTACCGGAAATGTATTCAAGCTTGTTTAGAATACTTGCCCTATGAAATTCAGACAATTTTGCCATTAAATTTTTAGTTATTTAAAATTTCTATAAAAAAATTTACGGAAAAACTGATATAAATTATACAAAAGTTCTTGGCAAATTTTTTTTGAAGTCACAAAGTAGGTTTTCTTGCTGAAATATATTACCAGCGAAATTATATTTTATAAATTTAAAAAACGCCCCCCAAAAATGATGCATTTACGCTTACAACATTCAAAAACAATTTAACAAATTTTTATTATAAAAAAAATTATCGAAATTCTTAAAATAACTTTTTTATGCTATGCATGCATGATTGATGATAGAAATAGTAAAAAAAATATTTAAAAATTGCGAGATACATGAGCTTCATTAATTAAACGCTTGCTTGTCAACTCTAAATATGCGAAGATGCTTTGATTACAATCAATGAGAACTCGAACCAAAAACTGTTTTTTTTTGAATATTCAAAAAACAAAGCAAAATATACTTGTTAAAAATATGCGAGGTTAGGTTGAATATGCGTAATGCCGTCCAGTAATCACGAGTTAAGGTTGAATTTAAATATGTTTTAATCGCTTCTTCGATAAAAATAGTAGTATCGACTTTTCGTTTTCTCTAGCCAAATATAAATAATGGGGGAAAAATGAACCTGGAAGAAAAAAATGCCCCTGTCAAACACAATGCAGCTTTCTGGTTAAATCATAAACTTTAAAGGGATCAGCATCTTATGACCAATCAGTTGAAGCCTGTGATAAATTTAATAGAAAACCATGTTTTTCAAAACAATGACGATTTTTTTACTTCATTTAACTTAATATAAATTTTGGGTTGGGTAAGGGCCTAAAATTTTTAAAATGATTTAGATAGGGCTGGTGAAAAAAAATTGAATTTAAATATCACTTTTGGGTTGTTATAAAGCCGGATTCGGGTTGATTTTTAAAAACCACCCGATTAAGATTTAGCCAATAATATTATGTAAGCCTCGAGATTTGGCAAATAGAGGTCCAAACTAGTGATCTGCATCGGGTCTAATTTTTTAAGCTCGGCTCGGCCCGGAATTTTTTGAAAAAAATTTGTCCTGCTCGATCCCGAACCAAGATTTTTTTATTTATCACGAAAAGCCCGACCCCAAATAATAGTAAAGATTATTTGTCCGCCCGACCCGAATTTATTTAAATATGGAAAAATTTAATTTTTTTTTGATTGTAATACTACAATAAAAAAAATATTAACGCCTTGTTTCGCAAGAATATTAAAATATATCAGTTTGTTTCACAAAATTTAATGTTATCCTTAAGCCTGACCCGACCCTGCACGAATTTTTTCAAAAAATAATTCCGGTTTGGGCCTGGTACGGGCTGTTATCTCCAGGCTTACATAATATTAATTTGGCTAAAATCGTAATCGTATCGGGCTAACGAGAACGACCCTACATCCTTTACTTCGGTTACCTTTATTTTTTCAAATTAAGATTCGAGGCGTTTTAAATATTGTCATTTTATATGAAAGTTTTTTTAATTAAGACCTTCATATACTTCTTTTATAGAGTCTTTAAATCATCTATCCAGTGGCGTCACTAGCCTTTACAATCTCAGGAGTGGGGGGGGGGCTTGAAAATTTATTTTTAAAAATTACCTGATTTTTTTTAAGGCTTATAATTTCAGAATGACTTTTTTAATGGTATTTTTTAAAAAATTTAAAATTTTTCATGGGGCTCTAGTTCATGTCTTCCTCTTCCCTCCCATTAGTGACGCGAATGCATCTATCCATGATTCAAAAAAAATACGGAAATAAAATATAAGCACTATTTTTTTTTACGAATAGCGTTTTACGTTATTTCGATCGATAAATAACAAGATGATGAAATTTTTTTTAGAAATAAAAGATGTAAACATAATCAAAGCCCATATTTTTGATGACATCAATCTTATGTAACATTTTTTTTGTACCAAAACTGATTTATCAACTTAGGCATGGGCTATAGCTTTAGGTTCATTTACATTTATATAAATAGATGCAGACATATTTAAGTGAGGGGGCTTTCGGGTGGCTTTCTTCACAAATTATTTTGTTGCATATTTTTATACTTCCCTTTTAAACATATTCATTCTTTAGATTAATATTTTTTTTATTAACTTAGAACCATTTAGAAGGAGCTCATGTCTTAGGTCAATCCCAACTGAATTTTAACTCAGTTATATGAGATCGATATAGTTTAAGCGTAACTCTTCTGTTTCATATAGAGAAACGGGCGAAACGCTTAAGATGATGGATGATATATAATAATTATTATTATTAATTGAAAATATTGCCTATGACATTTTATGTAGTCATTTTTGAGAGAAAGAGGGTCGGGAGGGAGTTTAAGCAACTTCTTTTTTTTAAAAAAAAATGTTAATTACGAAAACTGACAAATTTTCTATGAGGGATATCCCATTAGAGGTCTGCATATCATAATTTCAGGTCCTTAGCCCAGTCCCGCAAATTTATATTCGGCCCGTTTCCAATTTTTTACTAAGGTTGCCATGCCCGGCCCTGTTTTTTTAAATACAAGACTTAACCCGAAATATATGTAGTTAAACACCAAAATAAACAACTATTTATAATAAGTGGTAATTAATAACACTACACTTCGATAGATTATCGCTTCTATCAAATATCAGGATTCATCAATAATCCTCCGTTTATCTTTTTTGTTCGGCCCAAATAAATTTTTTCGGATTTTACCCCTCTAATCCTGATTCTCCCATCTTGAGTTACCCTAACAATATTATCGTAATTTCTTATATTTTGGTCAAGTTTATAAATTATTATTTGATTTGTGTCTGGCTATTTATCGACCAAAGTATTGTTTAAAAAAAAGGGATATATAACCATTTTTCACTGCTTGCTTCTTCTAAAGCATCATAATTTCTCTAATTTTATTTTTTTCAAAAAAATTATGAATTACGATATTAAATGAAGAAATACTAATTAAATGATTTACAACTAATCATCGCAACTGTAACATAAATTTATGCCTTCAAACAAACACAAAATTATTAATAAATAAAAATGTTATTCTTTTCTCGTTTTATCGAATATAATTTTTTTTCCTCTAAATAAATGTGTTCGGATCACATAAATTAAAAAAAAAATTGTCCATATTTTTAATTAGATATTAATCCTTAAATATTATCGATTATTCTCTCTCTTCCCCCCTCCCCCGCCTCTATGTATTTTTTTTAATCCCCAATTTTTCCTTGACTACCATTAAACGATAACTTCTCATTTTTATCGTATTTTTTATAAAAAAAAATTCAATTCTCTTCAAAAGTGTAGTAAATGAGATAAAGGGAAATGCCAGAGCAGTCCAGCTAGAGTTTGAAAAAAAAATCTTCAGAAAAGATTTTTGATCAATTTTACCTAAAAAAATCCTGTTTAAGCAAACTTTTGTAAATTCTTATCAGAGTTTGAAAAATCTTAAAAATATTTTAGCAAAAGATTTC